TGGAGTAACATTTGATTCAAAATATTTTTTTCAAAAATTTTTCTAATAGTTGGTAGGACTGAAATAGGTCTAAAATTGCTGGGGTCAGACGTACTACCAGATTTGAACACCTTAATGATTTTACTATGCTTCATAAGGTCAGGAAACTCGCCACGTTGAATACAAATATTAAAAATAATTGCTAAGTAAGGTGAGATTACATCAGTTATATAACTGATCAATCTTGTTAACAGTAGTAAATTTAAAGTTTTCTTTACATTCCATAAAATTTTTCTTAAGCAATGATTCGGCAATTGTCGGAGAAGAGAGAAATGACTTGGTTGTAGAAACCGTAATGTCAGCGAAAAATTATTTTCCTGATTAGATTGAATAGTATTAATACCATCAGTTAAGGTTAAGTTAGAGTTGTGACTACCCGTTTCACTATTAATTATATTCCACGTCATTTTGATTTTATGAGATGCACTTTTTATTTTATTCTTAATAAATATTGAAATACTGTGATTGATGTTTTCTTTCGGTCCGTAAGCTTAAATCCATGATTCATCATCTGAGACGATATTATAAACGGCATTTGACTTCCCTCCGTTGAAGCGTTGCAGAGTATGCCGGCACCAATCTACACGAGCCGCCTTTTGCTCTTCGGGCAAATTGTGGGGAACCCAGCGGGAAACCCTTACACACACCACCTTACAACTTAATGAGGTCATTATGTAATATCGACTGAATTGCAGTCATTTCGATACTGATAACAGCCCGAATCTGCTCGTATGTCACATGACGGTCATGTAATATAATAGTTCGCACAGTTGCGATGTTTTCAGGCGTGACCGCTGTTCTTGGTCGACTTGCAGAAGAAACAGTGCTGAGCGGCACACGACCGCGTCAGAACTCGGCATACCAGCAGTATATTGTCGTTTGACTCGGTGCTTCAACATCATAAATCGAAACTAGTTCGCTGAGACATTTATCTTGAGATAAACCGCGACGAAAATTGTGATATATTATGGCACGGAAATGTTTACGCGTGAGCTTCATTTCTGTTAACGACGTGTCAACTTTAAACCAACATAGTTTTTGTTTTTAAACTATTCTTTTAATTGTTTGAATGTTATTAAGATTCTAAGAGGCCAGTATTCAAATTCTAAAACAGGTTTTATTGTAACTCAATCCGAAATATTCTATTCCCAATCACTACAGTGTGCCCCTCGTGTTAAAGTAAAAAAAATGCAATATAAATTATAGTACGACACTAATACACAGACAATGCATTAAATATTTTAATAAGAATCTTATAAATTTGAATTTTTATAGTGCTAATCTCTGCACTTAAGATTAAACATTAAAATTTGTAGCAAAAAGTACGAAGTTTTTCGCCGCTGTGGGAATCGGACCCATGTCTTCGGGTTTCCTGCATTAGCTAAACGGCTTATTGCACCGACAATCTCAACGTCTTTTATCTACACTGTTTTGAAGCAATGCTTGGAGCATTCATTGTTATACTTTGCTTATCTTCATATTTATTTCTGAACAGTTGCGTTTATACTCTTATCTAATAAAATACCCAATTGTGACTATATCATCAGCCTACTGCCCTCATCCTACCTAGGTTGGGTCGGCACAACCTGTGAATCATGTTGTAAGCAGTTTTGGTTAGCTTTTTTTACAACTGACATCCTGCCTTACGTCAATCCTTCTTGGGAAACAAACACCCATCCGCAGCAATTATCTGTGGTTCACACAAATACTTGTCCCGTGTACTAATCGTGTAGGTATTTAGGTTATGTAACTGCATGCGAGTATTTTTAAATGATAACGTGGGAACAGAATTCCGAAGAACCTACAAATCAAACCCACGACCCCGTAAAATAAAAAAATAAAACACCAAACAGTAGGTAACAACAGTAACCGATTACTACGCTCTAACGTAGTAAGCAGGTACAGATGAAAAATTCATTCGATAATAAAAATGTTACCTTAATATGCACGCAAATTTAATCGCACAAAATAAATAAAACTTCCATAAAACGTTGTTATGTTTTATTTATTCTATTTTTTGAAGAAACATATTTCAATATTACTTAACAAACAATACAAAAGTAATAAATAATACAAAAGACCAGCTGTATCATCAAATTGTACTCATATTATAATTTCTACGGTGACTTGAAAAATGCGCGGTCTACAGGAAAACGACTTGAAAAAAAACGATGCCAGGAAGAAGAAGCAACGGTACCTGATATAATACCAAGGTCACAAATCTGTCACAAAAATCTTGTGGAGCAGTCCCGAACATGTATAAACAGCCGCCAGACAATGTTTGTGGGTGGAAAAACAAATTCTAATGTTTTGCGTTCGTTAATATAAACAGTAATCACCTAGATATACAATCTCTCGCCTGCCAGTATGGGATCGCAGATCAGCTTGGATGTTCATTAGCTCATTTTAGACACGAATGAATTATGAATGAATTAAATCCAATGGGTAATCAACACGAATCAACGACGTTGAATGAACTCAATAGTCTATAACTAATGGGCCGAATGAGCGCATCAAATGAACACTCTGAGAAATTAATTTCGGTCATTGATTGATCACAGATGTTCTAATTATGTGCACATTTGCGTCACCATTGCCGCTCTGTGCTGCCAGAGGAACGAAACTTTTTTTTTAGCTTTTTAAACAACTAATGCATTTAAGGAATGGTTTTTCACATTAAGGTAACGGTCCCTTTAACTATAACTTTTTTCCAATTATTATTGTTTCCAGATATAATGTAGTCTTGCAAATGCTGAACTGGCCACAGAAGAATCATAGTATACAATACAAGATACATACAAAACATTAAGATTATTGTTTCTTTAAATAAAATTGTAACTTTTTGAATAAATTTGTAAGACTTTCTTTTGATACAGTTCGTATAAAAAGAGAGAAAAGATTTCTTATTATTCGAATAAAGAAAATATTTTTATATTAATAATCGAGCAATACCAAAACACGCCGGATGTGGCTAAGGCGCCAACAATAGAAATGTAATTAATCTCAGCTTTTTGACTAATCTTATAATTCGCCAAAAAGATTTTTTTAAGGCAATGAATATTTAAGGGAATAAAACTCATAACGTGTGCCAATAATTAAATTACAAATTATTTCTGATGGCAAAGTTATCGCTACCTCCCTTTAGTCGTTAGTTAATGAAATCTTAGAACCATGTAGGCCGCCGCGACATCTACTATTATGTTATGTCAAAAACTGTGACTACAAAACATTTAACATTTACAAAACATTTAATGACAAAAGGTTTTTGACATAAAATTTTCTACGGTTAAGTTTCGCAAGAGCTTTCCGGAATCCGCTAACCTCGCCACTACGTGCACGTAATGTAAAGTAATGCTCTAATAAAACTAGTTCTATATAGCAAAAGAGGAAAACACGACGGAATGTAACAAGACAATTCGCTTCCGCTCGTTTCACTGCTGCTTCTCACTGTCTATTTTTATCGTGACTCGTTATATGTTGTTGTTTGGATTTCAACGGGAGACGGGCAATTCGTTACGTCCATTATGTATACATAATGAGATTAGTTTACCTTAATCTCATTATATACCACTTGGTATCAAAGACTTTAACGAACTGACAAAAAACTATGTCTCATTTTTTACAGTTGGTATTCCACGATTCAACCGATATGAAGGTGTAAACAACCTTCTTACGCAAAACATTTGACGAATCTGTTTTTAAACCCTGTCTTCAACATTTGTTATTCCATTACTACATTTGTTTTATTGCACATTTATAGACTTATTTTCGTCACTAGTCTTGTTGTCACATTTGTTTTTCTTGCTTGTTTTTCATTTCATGTGCATAATAAATGTAAAAAAAAAAAGTAAAGTAACAGCCTATACATGTCCCACTGATGGGCCTCCTCTGTACAGATGGTATCGGGGCATAGTCCACCACGCGGCCCCACTGCGGATTGGCGGATTTCACATATCTTCGAAAAATATTTTTTTTGTTATTATTGCGAAACAACTAAAAACAAAATTGACAACATGATTCACATATTCTACTGACCCCACATAAGTGAGATAAGAGCAAAAGAAAAATAACTTTGATGATTAAAAGAGATAACTAACACACAGTCGCAGGTCAGCAAAGTTTGTTAAATAGAAATTATAAAGGAATTTTTAAAAGTTTTGGCTCCTAAAACCATAAGCGCCATCTTTTGGATATAAAGCTAGTAAAAACCAAAACGTTTTATCCTTAAGTAATCTTTGTACGTTTTTTGTATGCCGCACATTTTTTTTTATTTTTACTTTAATGGTTCCTGTAAAATAGGTTAACTTTAAAATTAGCTTAACATACAGCACGTACTCGCACCTACTCATTGTAAATAATAAAAATATTGGGTAAATTTTGTGACAATTTTTGTACATCTTTAGAACCTTTAACACTCGTCCGTGCTCCGGTAACATTGTGCCCCGTGACATGGGAGGTTACCCATTAGAAGAATTTATTACACTACGCTATGGTCAGTCACGCTTCGCAAGTTAGTTTTTATAAAAATATTTTGCAATATTTCTTAATTAAAAATAAAAAAAGATTAACACAACATTCTAAAGTTCGAAAAACAAAATCCTCCACTGAACAGCATATTTTTTAATGGCCATTATGATGAATAAATGTATCATCAAACTCACGCCAAAACACAAACGTTAAAAATGACGGTTATATCAATACCTTCTTGAGAAATTATTTTTGTAAAGTTTTAAAGGGACCCAAAGTTTAAAAGAGAACCCAGAATACGAGACTTTCCTGCCAAACTTCAATAAAGGCTTCCATTATCAATTAAAAAACTTCAGCATATAGCAAAACAAGTGTTCAGCGTTCAAAATAATTCTTTTATTGCTCTACAGAATAGTTTACGAAATGTGCAATCGATTCAAATTTCAACTAAAGTAACGAATGCAAAAATAAACAATTCGTATAAAACCCGACTATTCCATTTGCATCTCCAGCACATAATTCCTTACGAATGGTAGATCATCCAGCTCTTTCTCCAGGAGGCTTGTAGGCGGTGGTCCCTTGTGGGCGACTAGGCGATGCTTGCGCAGCATCAGGTACAGGAGCAGGCTGTATTCGGCGGTGGCATTCCTCACTGTGTGCAGCATCGTCTCCAACTGCTCTTGGCGTGTGTCCCAGCCCCGAAGTTTGTCCACGCATTCCCCGAGATATTGGTTCAACTGAATCAAAATACATATTCTATTAATACAATAATAAAATATTTTCGTATAGTTTTCTATGCACGAACTCAGGTAAGCTTTTGTGCTAAAAATTTAAGTTATGTATATTCGATTATTAAAGCCTTAGAAAATTTGTTGTATTCGTGGATATTCGAAGTCATTTTCCTGCTTGTTCTACAAAGAGACCATCTTTCTATTTTTATTTATTTAAGCTTAATTGTTTCACTACAACTTCGACAACCTCGGTTGAGGGCAGGAAATAATAGTAAAAACATATAATATAATAAAAAATTAAGTTCGCTGAATGTTAATACTCCATGTAAGAATATTTGGCAAATACTAGAAAAGCATCATCATCATCATCATCATCATCATATCAGCCGTAGGACGTCCACTGCTGAACATAGGCCTCCCCCATTGACTTCCACTTCGACCGGTCGTTAGCGGCCTGCATCCAACGCGTAGAAAAGAAAAAAAAAGAAAAGCATATACGTCACAAAATATTTTTCCAGTATTGGGGATCGAACCCACACTCTCTGGTGCATGAGATAAAATTACGAACTCGTTATTACTGATGAATTGAATTATAACAAATTACCTTAAATATTCTTCTTTCCAAAACCTTCCGTTGTACCCAATCACATACATATATAAAGAAGGCCAATACTACGAGCGTGGTGGCGACGACAGTGTCAAATAGTGGGTACTCATCAAGTTGGACCCATGACAATGTGTATGTTGACGGAGGAGGTGTGAGCACTGGTTCTGGTACGGGTGAGTATAAGTCTGGTACGTAATACTGGACGGGTAAAAGCAATAAAACCACCAAAGCCGTCGCCAACACACCGTTCGTGCATCCGCTTAAAGGCATTAATTGCCTACTCCAATAACAAATAATTTACACAGTTCACATTTCAAAACAGTTTAATGTAAGTTGTGCAATAAATCTACTTATGTACACTATAATAACAATTAATACGTAAAGATCTGTTATAAAAATATTGTTGTTAACTACTTGACATGACATCTTTTATGTTTTCTTAATATTTACTACATCTATAAACGAAAGAGTTCTTAATATATTTTATCGCTTGTATCACTGTATATTAGTGTCGAAGTCTAATACAATTCAAAGACTTGTCTTTGAATAAAATAATAAAATGGAACCCATTAACATTTCAATTTTAAAAGGGAAACAAGTTTCAATGTAGTATTCTTCACGAAGATAAAACTAAAATGTTGAAAAAAAGAATAAGTCTAATACATTGTACTAGATACATTTATTATCTAATTATGAATGAATGAATGAATATTCTTTATTGCACACACCATGGTAAAAAGAATACATTAAAAATAACAATTATGTAAGGGTTGTACAATGGGCGGCCTTATTACTTAAGCAATTTCTTCCAGGCAACCTTTGGATGGACATAATATGAAAAGAATATTTTAGGGCTGTGGGTAAAATTCTATTATCTAATTATGTATAGATTTAGAACAAATATACTTTCTAAAACTATAAATTAAATTATTCTACTTTAATATATCTTTAACTTTGCTTGACATTCTTATGTTAAAAAAAATATATCCAAACGTTAAAACTTTCTACACTGTCAAACCTTGCTACTGTCAAATGATAACGTTTAGTCGTTTAAGTTTACGTGAAAACTTTGCATACAAGACGGGTCAATTGTTAAATTATAATGAAAGCGATACACCCTTAAAGTAACAATAAATTCGAAATAAACTATATTAGTAATGTATTAGCAATCGCTTTATAAACTGTACTTAATTTAAAACGTAAGTTTCACATTATTACTCATTATAGATTCAATGTCTTAAGTTCGCCTTGTGTCTCATATAGCTTCCTGTCCTTTCAGGGTCAATATTGTTATCTATTAACCAGCCAACAAAACAAAGAACTCCATATTAATGTCTGATTCAAAATCGCTGCCATGAAGAAAATTGTGTTATTTAAGAGTGCCTCAGAGGACTACGAGAAGACTTTCACTAAGTGTCAATATCAGACCATATTTATCGAACCGCTCCAGTTTGTTTACATGAACATGCAACAATTGAGCGAAAAACTTCAGAGCGGAGATTACCAGGGCCTCATATTGACAAGCCCCCGTGCCATTGAAGCTGTGTCTAAGTGCTGGGCTCCGTCCAAGTTTGTGATATGGAATACAAAGCGTATATACACAGTTGGTGAGTCTAGTGGTCGGAAAGTTAAACTTCTGCTGGGTTTGGAAGCCCTAGGTACAAAAGAAGGCAATGCTGAAAATTTGGCTAAACTCATAATGAAGGAGAATTCAGAACCATCCAAATTTCTGTTTCCCTGTGGTAATTTAAGTTCAGAATTGTTACCAAATATGCTACAGTCTAATGGAATAGCAGTGGATTCCCTTACAGTTTATGAGACTAAAGAGAATGAGAATTTAAGGCGAGATCTTTTGGCAGTGAATGACTCCGAGGGGCTCTGTTGTTTGGTGTTCTTTAGCCCATCGGGCTGTGAATATATTCATAGGCAACTACAAACATTCAACAACAAACTTCATGCCTTGCCTCACTTCGCCATTGGTAATTCAACCGCTCACAAAATTGAGAATCTCGGTGTGGAAATTGCAGGTGTTGCTGCCAAACCAAAAGCAGAAAGTGTTTTAGAGTCAGTGGAACAGTACTTTAGAACTTTATAATATGGTACATAGGAAAACTAATATGGTGTAGGAATGGCTTGTATATGATGTTTATTTAAAAAGAAAATGTGAATTGTAGGGCATTTGTCAATTACATTAGTTACTTTTTTAATTTTATTTATAATTAAGATATTTTAATGTGATCTGATTTGATCTATCTGCAGTGTTATATGAGATTATGACAAATTTATCATTATAGTATATAAGCAATGTTATAAGAAAGTTAAATTGTTTATGGTGGGATTTATTATAAAGTAACGTAAAATACTTTTTTATATACAGTTGTGTTTGGCCATATTTTAAATTCGTATGTATATTTTTTTGTTTCAGAGATTTAGGCATAAAACGCTAAAACCCTACTAAATAATTTTCTTCTACAAACTGTCTTTAAAACCTTTTGATATTTTTGCAAGTTAATTGTCTATAATGTGATCCAATAAATTTAATCATTTTTATGTAACTGACCAATTTTTAGCTCTATAACCATTATACAATTTACATTTATAAAAACAAAAAAACAGTCTTTTGACCAAGACTTGTGGTAACCTTTTATAACTTACAAATCAAATCTTAAAATATCTACACAAAAATTATATTTGTTCAATCTAGTCTGATTAAAGCCAAGTAAAATATGCATAGCACTGGAATTTGCAAAAAGCTATTTTTCAAGCAAAAATTTAGATTTTCAAATTTAGCAATATATTACTTTATTTATATTTAAAATATAGAATTTTATGATATAAAGCTATGTGTAATAGCTTTGTATCATAAAATTTCTTACAATCCTTTTAAATAATCGAATAAAGAAGTAAAGGTGTACACATTCACAACAAAACCAACTTCAAATATCTCACTACACATTTTCTATTTTCCATTGAGAATTGCCTTGATTTATCCTCGGAATCAAAGGTCCATAGCCGATGGAATTAAAAGTGGACCATGTGAGAGCTAACCAGAATCCAATTAAAGGAAGAATTTTTAAAATTAGTTTTTAAATGAGTTCTGAGGTAAAAAAATTAAGTGAAAAGTCTAAAAGTTTCTGAAACTCTGAATTATTTCTTCTTAATGATAAATCCAATAAATCCAAAGAGTTTAACAATCCATTTGACAGCTGATTAGTAGACTACGATGATCAGTGTTTCAGAAACCAGTTGTTAATGTTTGTCTTTTAAATAAGTTAGTGAGTTTGGGTACAGTAACACTTGTGGCCAGATGTGTTCAAACATCGAGCTCTAGGGGAGCGGGCGTCGGAGGAGTGTCGCGGCTGGCGTCGAGGCGCCTCATCACCGAGGCGTAAGTGGCCACCGCGCTGCCGGCCACCAGCCCAGAGTTGACCAGCGCCACAGGCTGTGCCAGATTATGTATCGTTTATTACTTCGCTGTTATATAATATTGTAATGATTTAATTTTGTTCCACTTTCTACATGTGTGAAAAAAATTAATTACTTGTTAGCTTATTTACAACTGTTTTGTGTTTAGGTATACATTTGTTTTTTGTTTTTTTTTTTAATTGTGCGTTTTCCGACGAAAATAAATATAATCGTAGTTACACTTAGTTTGTTACAATATCTATACATGTTTTATCATACGTTTTCACAATCGACAAAAAAATTTTTTTTAATAGTGACGACCAAGCGGCAAATAAACACAATTTTTAACATTTTAACACAGTTAAAAATTCACGTGTAAAAATCACTAGTGTAAGTGTGTGCCTGGTGTATGGCGCAACCTATCACGTTCAGTGACCTTCAAATTCTGTAAAACATGCGAATGTTACCAATCTATACTTCGCTACCTTTTGACGTTAAAAGACATGTATATATAAAATTATACAGTGAAAGTTGCCCCGTCTGTTCTCCCTGGCCGCCGCGATGGCTTAGCGGATTTGAATTAAATTTGGCATGGAGGTAACTTATACTCTGAATTAGCATATTAACAAGCTCTGTGCATTAATGAACCACGTAACTTCTTTTTATAGCTATAGGCTATTAAAAGAAGTTTCATCTTCAATTCATAGTCGAAGTTTCTGGGACATAAACATGGCATATTATTTTATTCCAACAGATGACTTTCGAACAGAATATAATATGTCCAATGTTCTATTAGTATTAGAAAAGTGCTTTCGGCCGAAATATAAGATTATCTGCGGCGCAAAACCCGAGGTCATCTACGAATAAGTTATCACGTCACCTAAAATTTGCCACTACTATTATCCAATATGATACGGACGTTAAATAATTCTCGATTACATCATCAGCATGTTATTAGTTAAATAGTAAATACCGGTATGTACTGAATTACTCGCAATTACGACTAGCTCGTGACTGATTTGATCAAACCAACACATTAAAATAGTCTGCTAATAAAAAGAAAAATAATTATGTAGGTACGACAATATCATATTGAATATTTCTACCGTTAACTTATTTGACCGATCACTTTACCTCCATTTCGGTGCTGATTCATATTATCCCTTTTAGTCGCGTAAATTGTGTTAGCGCGTATTTTCCTGAACTGGTGTTTGGTCTAAGTTTAAATGGAATGCGTATTAAACTTATTTTTTTTTATAGTCCCCTATGCAGAATTTCGCATGAAGCAGCTCTGTTTGTATCATCTTTCATTTACGAACGGTAGATCATCGTGTCGCGGGAGCCGAATCGCCTGAGCGTAGTGTCAAAGCTGGTGCTCCTCAAGGTAAGTGTCTATCACCACACTTGTACGCGGTGTATAGATACCAACATTTCCCCCTTGGAGCACTACGCTGGTGGTACGAAGATGTATAAAGATCTCCCTGTATGGGGACAACAGTGCATTCTACACGTCTTTTCGCAAGGCGGTGTATGGGGCATCGTATGGACCTGCTTCTACCAAGCAGGAGTACACGCCGAGTGATCTTGGAGTCTAGGCGTTAGGTGAACATCGACTTTATTAAGTAATATTAAAGGTGAATACTTTAATGATTTTTTGGCCTGGTTTACAAGTCACGTCTACGATAACTACTGGATAGCAGCTACAGTACATCAATCGCCATTGCGTATCGATGGTTTTGGTTCGTCCCAATAACAGATGTGGGGATAAAAATGATCCAGGAAACTACAGACCTATCTCCATATTGCCATCTCTGAGTAAAATTTTTGAAAAACTAATTTTAAATCAGCTCTTAGTACATTTTAATATGAACAAAATTTTTCACAATGAGCAATATGGATTCACTAAAGGCAGATCGACAACAGATGCGGGTATCGCACTTGTCAAACATATTTATAACGCCTGGGAAGGGTCGCAAGATGCAATAGGTGTTTTTTGCGACCTTTCAAAAGCTTTCGACTGCGTGGATCACAAAACCCTCCTTCTAAAGCTTGATTATTATGGCATTCGTGACATCGCCCTCAATCTCATTGCTTCTTATCTTAATAATAGAATTCAAAAGTATCTATAAATGATGTAAATTCCGCAGGGTCCCCCATGAAAATGGGTGTCCCACAAGGATCGATCTTGGGCCCATTATTATTCTTAGTATATATAAATGATCTCCCCTTTTATGCCAGTGAGTTATGTGATGTTGTACTGTTTGCTGACGACACATCGCTTATTTTTAAGGTTGACCGAAATGTATCGAATTATGACGACGTGAATAGTGCACTTTCGCGTATCCTCCACTGGTTTACCATTAATAATATGGTGTTAAATGCTAAAAAAACTAAATGCCTTCTTTTTGCCCTTCCCAACGTAAGAAGGCAAAGTTTTAGCTTAAAATTGAATAGCGTAACCCTTAATCCTGTTGAGTCCGCTGTATTCTTGGGAATCACAGTAGATTCAAAGCTCCAATGGAGTCCCCATCTATCATCTCTTGCGAATAGGTTAAGCTCCGCTGTTTTTGCAATTAGGAAGGTTAGGCAGCTATCAGACATCGACACTGCCAGACTTGTTTACTACAGTTATTTTCACAGCATCTTGTCGTACGGCATTTTGTTGTGGGGTAGTGCATCTGATATAAATTCAATATTTATTATTCAAAAAAAGAGCTGTCCGAGCAATTTATAACATCGGAGCCCGGAATACACTCAGACATCTTTTTAAAGAGATTAATATACTCACTGTTGCGTCTCAATATATTTATTGTAATATTTTGTATGTTAAACAGAATATTAATAATTATCAAAAGAATAGTGACAGACATAAACTAAATACTAGAAATAAGGACAAACTAACTACGCCATTATTTCGCCTACAAAAAGTAAACAGATCGTTCATGGGGCAAAGTGTGCGCATGTATAATAATAAAATCCCACAGTCGATGTTAAGTCTGCCACTTGATGAATTTAAACGAAAAATTAAAAGTACACTTATGGCTAAAGCCTATTATACTATTGCCGAATATCTTGACGACGCCAATGTGTGGGGTTAATACTGTTGATACTCACGTAGGCTAAAACAAGACTATTGTACATGTACTATTATATTGTAAAATGATTTTTTTTAAAAAGAGCAACTGTTGAGTTTCTTGCCGGTTTCTTCTCAACAGAAACTGCTTTCCGAACCGGTGGTACCTTACGAACGTGTTAATTTCTTGTAAAATTTTGACGTTTCATAAGAACGCGCAAGCGTCTATGTGAATAAAGATATTTTATTATTATTATTATTAAAGATAATTTGTTTGACATACATACATATGCGTATGTCATGGCAACGTTATTTTGTGAAATTCCCTATACAGGGTTTATTGCCAAACGTGGGGGTATTTAATAAAAACACTTCTGCAGTAAAGAAACTGCTTTATACCTAGAGAATTAAGCGAACATTAGTTCATGAATATTTTTGCGATATAGGGCACCCTTGTATTTCAATGTCAATCTGTCAGTCGAGGAAAGATATATTGCCTTTTAAGGTTCACGGTCCAAAAAGGAGCATGTACTTAACATATAATTTATCATCGTATATTTAAAAGCAGTACAACGTAGGTATCTGCCCAGAGCGGAACAAGGTTCAAAATCAAGGCTAAATTCCCGACTCAGCTAATATAAACTTCCTTCCACGTATTGATTATTTTAATGTAATTTATAGTACAGTTTATTACGCCAAATGTGTATTATGATGTTCATAAATTCCATTACCTCCTAATAATTCATTATCGCTTAATTGAAATCACGGTTGTTCGATGAATAGACTGAGATATAAGCTTCCCATGGCCGGACCATATTTTTAAATACCCAAGAAACTGATTTAAAACTACTTTCATTACATAAGTAAGTAACCAAAAATCCTTTCCAATGCTGAGTGCAAGGATAACTTGTTTCCAAAACAACAAAATGTCTGTTAAATATATCGTAAGTATACTTTTCTTGATTTTCCTTCCGTGTTTTTTTTTTTGTTACGTATTAATAATTAAAGTAGTAACACAGAAAATTTTAAAAAAAATGCTAAGCGATAACCGCAAATATGAAACTGGAGTAGTGTTGCATACTTGTGTAACTCAAGTCAAGTCAAAATTTCTATTTAATATATGCTTAATTTAAGCTCTTATTGATTGAACAACCAAAAAATGTTTTTTTTGATACCAAAAAAATTAACTATATCTGTTCTAACAACATTGTATTCGATTTTCTTATGGAGAAGCAGTCGAACGAGCAGACAGGCCAACTGGTGGTTAGTGGTCACCACCACCCATGGACCCTCGCAACACCAAAGGAGTCACAAGTGCGGTGCCGGCCTTTGAGGAAGGAGTAGGCTCTTTTCTTGAAGCTCCCTACCCAAGTCGTGTCGGTCCGGAAATACCGCTTGCAACAACTGATTCCACAACTTGGTTGTCGATATACCTCTCCTACGAGGTCTACCGATGAAATTAATCCTGATTAGGCAAGCAAAAGTGGAAGAAATACCATCGATGGTTATGCCTTTATACATTAACCTCGTTAGCTTAGTGAAGTAGGGAGTTATCTAGGCGAAACGTATGTATCACTGCCCTAGGATTGCAGTACACATATCATAATCATCCTCCTGCCCTTATCGCACCTAGATGGGGTCGGCACATGTGAAACGTGTTGTAAGCGGTTTTGTCTATGTTTTCTATGATCGGCCGCCTGCCTGACGTCAACCCTCCTTAGCATTTGTTTCCTAGACACAGATACGGAACAATTATCTGTGGATCACACAAATACTTGACCCGTGTGGGAATCGAACCCACGACGTAGTTCAGCCACCGAGTGATCGATTGCAGTGCACATTTCTTCAATTAAGTTTCAGATCACTAAAGCACCACCGAAAAGGGGCGTGGTCAATGTCCTTTAAACCTAAGAACCACTGAGAAAAATATGTATGTTTCATCTGACAGATCCATTCTGCATGAAACGCCGCTGTATCTTACGGTTCATGATTTGATCTGCAGCAGAGTTTGTACTATGCTAAACATTCAACTTACGCCGTGTAAGTAGTCAATAACACCGCCCATGTCGCAGAATGTCATATTCAGAACAGCGAACACGAGCATCGTGATTCCCAACGTTGTGGAGAGCACCAGGTCCTGAAGAATTAAACTTCCATGAGGCAGCTATTCAGATCGCATCTCCGCTCTTGGACATTAAGATCACAATGTATTACCATATTCTGGCAATAAAGACTTTCATTCATAAGTGTAAATGTTTACTATTTACCGCCAACCTTTAGAAAAGTTAACCCCAGTTACTTAATTCTCAAGATGAAATGCAAAAGCATAATAATTAACTTTTTTCTTTCGCCTGTTTCTTCTCCGTAAGAGGAATAGATATTATATTATTAAATTACGTTATTGCATTAAACACACAATATTACAATTTATTTACTACTTATTCGTTACCAAGACGTGAAAAGGTGTCCGCCAAGTGGCTTCCGTAGATATAACCTTATCTGATTCGCGATAGAAAATTAGATAGAAAACGTCGACCGCCAAGACAATGCCTTAAACAAAAAACCTGTATTACCGCCGTCAAATGTCTTGTTTCTAGTTATCAGATAAACGAATTTATGGTGATGTATCGTGATAATGATTGCGACTACCAGCTTTGATTCGACACCGTTTTTTTTTTAACCGAATTGGATAGACGAGATTACGGTCTAACATTAATTACTGCTATCTATAGACTTTCGCGCCCTGGAATAAAATCAATACGAAATGGGTATGGGATTCCGCCGCAAACATACCAAGGAATGTAACGGGTACCACCGTAAGTTGTTCTCTACCAGTCAACCAATGTCAATAATATGTTTTTCTTTCCAAAGCTATGAGCAAGCAGCTCCAGACAGGCGCTGCCAACTTCTACAGCGATGCGAATCTTCTATGGGGTCTTAGTACTCCAATCGAACTGGCCTAATCGAGCAGCTGTCATAAGCTGTTAGTGTTATACTACAGTAGAACGATAAATTTAACTATTGTAAGAGTTAACTATTTAAATATATGTTATAAGTAATATTGCACTGCTGGCATATTAGTTATATTTTTTTTTGTTTTAGAAAAAAATTAATTGTATTTAAATTTACTCTGGTAATGTTTTTTTTTTTCTCTTAAACTGGCCGGCGACAAGTGCACCAGCAGTAATCAAATCATAGTTATCATTCACGTTTATAAATAAATAATTAATAAACATTTAGGACACATTTTTACACAACGTTCTCTAACTAAGCAACGCTTGTACTATGGGTACCAGCTAACTGATAAAAATACTTTTCTTATGAATATACTATATTACTACTACTAAATACACATACATATTATACATATATTAACACCCAGACATGGAAAAACTCTATATTTCATCACACAATATTCTTCCAGGATCGAACCCACACCCTTTAGCGCAAGAGCAGGTCCATTGCTAACTACGTCGATCGCGTCGTCTTTTGTCGTACCTTCGTCTTAAAAACTTATTTCTTCCAAAGATTCTACCCATTGTACCCATCACTTCTATATCATGTTTTCTATCTTTGTTATTATCAAACAGATTATTAATATAATATTTACAAGATTTAATCTATCTAAAATTACATAAACTAATCCACGCGGCATGGTGCCAAGAACGCTAGCTGCATAGTTATGCTTAACCTTCGAACGAGAAAAGAACAAGCTCCCTTGTCACCAGCCGCGACGTTAAGCCTAGTACATAAACTTTTAAAAAATTTGATGTGCGTGGACCATACGGACCTAAAATTTCAACAGCAAATGACACAAATATAATTATAATCTAAACATAAAGACTCATATTTGCGCCATTTACTTACTTCAGCTGCCTCCGAAGCCGCCCCGGCCCTGACCGAAGTACCCCTTAGATGACAGGCCACCAAAGTGTCTACACAAGTGGCGTCCCAAACAAGGGCTTTGCCTCTCTCCCAGGGGATCAAAGTTAAACGCTCGGGTCTCTTACCATCGTCGCGAAAAATGCCACAGGGCTCTAAAATAGATGGAACATTGATGGAAACAAGAGCTCTACCGATGCTGTCGTTCAGGGAACCGTGGCGGGAAAAACGGCCAGCACTTTTTTGACAAGAAAGCCCGTGGAGACCACTACACTGGTCTACACTGACACCACAAGGGCATTGGTGTGGTTGACAAATCGGTGCCCCCAGACGGATTCCTACAGCAAAGCGTAAGCTTTCATTGTCAAGTAATGTGCCTAAGTTACGCCTAGGAAACAGGCACGCTCTAAATTACTTTCTAAAGATTGAAACGTATCTTTCTGTACTCTCCGCACCAAAGGAACATCCCACTGTTTTTGTAGGTTTACATCCAGTGGAAAAAATGATAACTAATATTACAGCAGTGCAATATTACTTATAACATTATCAATAAAAATGAACTGTTTAAATAGTTAACTCTTACAATAGTTAAATTACTCTTTGTTTATTTTATTTTAGGTGCACTAAAGTATGTTCATTCAATCTCTCGGATGACAAAACAGATGCTAATAAATTGTTCCTCCTTTATCGTAGATACATATCACTGAACCGAAGGCATACCTCTCCATCGAACGCTTGGAATGTCACAAACGATAATTAAGTACCTAACTTACAGGAAGTAAACGCTTTCTGAAATGCAACCTATGGAGTATCGCGATGCGAGCTACTCTACCCCTGACTTGATACTGAGCAGATCAGCTCTTTGTACGCATCTTCACTGACTACAAAGCAACTGAATGGTGTTATGCAGCGATCGATAGTCTTAATATGACAGCAGTACCTACGCTACTATTTCAAAGAATAATTTTAATGCACCTAAAGTCATTGGTGTTATAATTATTAAAGATCAAGATTTCAATGTTAACACAATTCGATGAAACAAATATAAAAATTACGCATCGTTTCGTATTTGAAAACAAAGGCGGTTCAATTTTACCGTTTGGAACACAAAAATACCGATTTTTTTGGATCGATGTAGTTTAACTCCTCAGACAGCGTTAAACTTGTGTCCTATATCCTAATGGGACGTTCTGGTGGTCTCAAAAAATTTCATGCGTCGTGCATATAACTTTCACAAAGATCATTAATTATTTCTTTAACTATAAATACGTGTACTTACCACTGATAACAGTTTAAGAACCCCTTCAACTGACACGAAAAAATCACTCTCCTTATAATAATTGCGAAGATGGACGCTTTCCGTCCCTGCTGGCACCGCAGAGCCAGTCGTAATATTCGAACGATTCATTTCCCTTCATAAAAAAACTCTTCAATGTTCATCATACCGTTTGAGTAGATGTTTCATAACCACAACTCGTGGTTTCAATGTTCGCGATAATCTCTTGCGAAAAATATTTCGAAACACCGTTTGATCAAACATTAATGATGTGAAGGGTTTCCATAACAAAGCATATAACTTAACCTAAAATCGTGGTTTCAAATTAATCGTAAAATCGCGATAATCTCTTGCGATTTAAGTAGATTATCTCTCGAAATCTAATAGATATAATTGTATTTTGAATCGTGAGCCTTTAATTATTCGTTTTAGCACTGATGAATATTTTTAATGGGCAAAGTACCACGACCTCACAGAAGAGAAATAAGTATTGCATCAGGTAGTTGGAATAAAAACTTGCAAGTGTCCATAGGCAGGCAGTTATCACCTAACATCAGGTGGACCACCAACTCCTTTGCCACTTTCTCACATTCAAATCAATAATAATTTAAACGGCTAGAATCGTGAGAGCACTGATATATTTTTAATAAGTATAAGAAATAAGTAATGTAGTTGGAATAAAACTTCCAACCAGATTCGCTTTCGAGATATACGCAAAGTTAAAAATCACACATATAAACTCAGCACTGCGGGATTTGCACCTGCATCTTCCAGTTTCGCGCCAAGACTCTTTACCAACTAAGCTAAGCGGCCGGAGACTTCACGGGTTCACGGCACGAAAATCTAGACATGTATCTACCTACGTTCTCTTTATTGCATTTTAGCAATCAATCTACGGGTGTTGCAAATGTCCATGGGCGTTAGTTATCACTTAACATCAGGTGAACCGCCAGCTCGTTTGCCATCTTCTTACACATAAAAAAGAACAACTGGTAATTTTATTGTCTGATTAAAATTTATAAGTAACATATTCTAATGAGTAATAACTTTTGGCAGAATAGCATTTTATGTTAGACTGCCACTGTAAGAACTATTTCACTAAGCTATAATGTATATTTAAAATTAAAATTCCTCAATATCTAATAACTTACGGCAGAATATCATTACATCTTAACTTGCCACTAGTGGCAGTACATTTGTTTATTTGGTATGTGTTGCCAATAGACAAAATATGTCTCCTGTAAACATTTTGTATTGTATTTGAATTAGGTATTCGTCAAATTGTGTACCTTAATACATTTACGTAATAAGTGATTTTGTTACCACCTACAAATAGGAACTTCTTAGTATTATGCTATTCATAAGCGAAGCTACCAAAGAGATTTTTTTCTATAGGCAAAAGCTAAAAGGGGCCGCTTAACTAGCCTCCTTAATACTTGCAATCAAAAGTTGCCTGATCCATTTCCTATTTTAATATATTTAGTGCGGGCAGTCCTCTCTCAACTGTATTCTTTTTTTATTTGGCCCCATATTAATTTCATTGGTATTGGATCTAGGGAAGTCCTGAAAAGCAATTATAAGATGAATACAGAGCGAGATATTTGAGTGCGGTTTTGTTTTTCGTAAATTAAAAAAATTGACTTGTTATAATATTCTTACCTGTGTAGATAAAAACCTCATAAAAATAAAAGATAATAAAAAAGGTCCTTGTGGTGAATACGAATAGTATAATAAGACATACCTGTTCTATTATATTGTAAACTAATCGTTTTAAAAAAGAGCAACTGTTGAATTTCTTGCCGGTTTCTTCTCAACAGAAACTGCTTTTCGAACCGGTGGTAACTTACGAACATATTAATTTTTATGTGAAACTATGACATTTCATAAGAACGCGCAAGCGTCTATGTGAATAAATATATTTTTGATTTTCACAGTTTCCATGTTAATGGAAACTAGCTTCTAAAATTAAATCTTAGCGAAGCAGGTGCGTTTACCACTGGATATTTTTCCAACTTATCTCCACAAAAGATTATCCTCCCTGTTCAGGATAGAACAAGGAAGAAGAAACAACGCTTCTGAAGGTGTTATATTAATACAATTTCAATAAAAAATAATTTGCTTTTTATTCGAATGCGAGTCTGTTACGGTCGGAAGTCAGTGCGAATGTACCAATTTGAATGTGATTCGTTAAGCATTTTTTTATAAGCTAATATATTTAAAATATAACGGTCGACTTCCAACGCGAGTGTTACAAGTATAAAGACAGTCTATGGTTTACACGTTAATTTATACATATTGATAATTTTAAATTTATTTACAATTTGAACTTGTCTGTAGCGCAGACACTCCCCATTATACTTCGTAATAAAAACGTAGTTTGAAAACCTTTTAACAAATTAGGAACTGCGTAAAAATGAAACTAATAATAAAAACCACATGTGTTTGTATAAAAACCATATATGTATTATCGTTAAAATTTTAAAGTAAAAATGACTCGTACAATTTCTTTGAGATCGTACAACACAATCGCTAGATCATGTAGATCAAACAATTTCATAGAACTTACTTAATAACACACAAAGCAATTTACTCGACCACTAAAGCCCTGCCGCCGATGCCTGCCGACTGCATTATTAAATTTTAATCATATTAATCAATAATTAATGCTTTATTCGACGATCACTGAACAAACTTATGTTTATGTAAGGCCCGAAATAAGAAGAAGCCAACAACTCCATTAAATATAGTTTCTTATATGTCACGTAGTTAGTGACATTTTAACAATCTAATTGCTCATTCAATTAAAGCTAAAGGTGGTAAATACATTTGTGGAAACATTTGTTTGAATTAAAGGCTAAAACAGCAGCGAGCTAAAGTGCGAGGGAAATAAAAAGTCGGTAGCGAGAAGAGGAAGAGGCGAGCAGCCGTGGCACCATCTGTTATTAAAAAGTTCAACTACGAAGCCATTTAGCTTTCCTAACTTTACAGTAACAACTTCCGTGGTTGACCTAATTTTTAGCGCATAATTTAAACACTAACTAAAAGAATGTTACCACGATGAAATATATATCCTCTACCTCAACATTGAGGAGAGGACATGATCATGAAAACTCATTGGCATCCAATAAATAAAAATGGATTAAAATTTAGTGCTGTATATACTGAACCTTATTCACACAAAAATATTCGAAAATATTCCCATTACATTGTTACATGTTACACATCATTAGCTACTTACTGCAAAACCTCTAATTTTTTACTCATTATTGTATTATTAAATGCCAATTCATAATTACGAACTACAAATTTAAAGGATAATGATTTCATGACACAAAAAAATAAGCATTAAGTAAGATTTGTTAGTTTTCAAAAAGGCGAAGTATCATGCCATTTAAACTGGCTTATTTATCGTCAATCCATTCTCATATAATTTCTTTTTCTATCAAGTTATGAAAGGATATTCTGAAATATCATTATACAGCTATAGATGTACGTGTTCACAGAGCAAAGGGAGGCTTTTTGTCGACAGGGCATTGGCGACAAGGGGCAATTGGCGAAATTGGGGTATTCAATGGGAAGAGAGACTAGCTAATCGTGTTCGATAACAAGTGTGACCGTCATACGATATCGTAGTCATAGTACGCGACAGATGCTGAACCACAAATACATAAGAACGTTTATGTGACAAGGTAGGGTAATAAATTAACTTAATTACAAAATGGTGATATGTATACGACAGAGAAATCAAAAGGTAACAAGGTGGGCTGAAGTATGTACTTGAGGTTTAAACTAAACAACAGTATAAAGGTACTAAGCTCGTAACGAGTACGAGAGGTCAGACAGTATAAAATTAGCTCCTATAACAAATCTTATTCCTTACATTTCAAGTATTCGTCTTAGATCTAGTTATACGTTTTTTTATAAATAATTACATCATGCAAATTATATCATCGAAAGCCTCGCAAGTAATAAATATGACATACATACTATAACTACTTGGACGAGTTGGTCGAGATAATCCATACAGCCACACAGGTAATATTTCTATACATCAACAATAGACAAAAACGCCAAGGCTCAAACTCTCCAAGCAGTATAATCATCGGTGATTACATAATATATTTATAGTTCCCTCATCTATTCAAGTTAACACAATAAATACTTGGCTTACACGTAAAAATTACCCTTTGCATATATAGTAATGCTATAATATTATTGACAAAAAATAGGAGATAAAGCAAGAAATTGTGAACGAATTGTCGAATATGCAAAATAACGGGGATTAGAGATAAAAAAATTTCTTATAAATAATGCATAAATTATGAGATCAAACACACGAATGCCTAAAATTTGTGCAAACTACTCAAGGAATTGCATTATTCGTAGAAATAACAAATAGTCACTTACAAACACTAAATGGACTAGCATATTAAAATCAGACTTGTGTAAAATATAAGTACAATGTGAACAAAAACGACAGTTTGGCAAAAGAGATCGTCCAAAATTCAATGTAAGAATCATCTATGAGCTATTTATGTGAACACCATTTCCAGTTAAAACTACAAAGTTATGGATACAGTTTAGTTGATAATAAAAAATTTTGGTCATCTTGTTAATGATGGACACTGCCAGGGTTCCTTAAATCTATTTTGCCATACTGTCCACCTAGACAACGATGAACTAGATAAACGAGTGGACGTGAACGCTTCACAGGCAAAGACTAAGTGGCAGTAGTAGACAATACATGGCGACCTTCACATCTTTCCAAGAACGTTTCTTACTGATGTGCAGTAATAAAACCATTCAATTATCCGCCAAAAGATCTAAGATCGCAATGTAATAAGTTCAATTTCCTTATCTTGCACTTCACTCCTAAGACGGTACACAATCAGCCTGTCCATTATAATTGGGCGGTAGACTTATCGAGGGCAATCACAGCACAACTAATTAAGTCTTTTCATTCACTCAAAAACATGTTATAAGAGAATATCATATAAATTAAATCAATCGTGTCAAATTGTGCGTTGTGGGCCTAACAAAATGACTCTTTCTTAATTGTGAATAAATTAAGGGCGAAGTGGTCGTCGATTTATCTCATGGCAGTGAACATACATAGCCAAGACACGATCCATTTTCACAAGTACGCGATTTGATAATCCGTCATATTTAACGTATTAAAGGTTATACACAGCCAAAGTTTTATTTAGCGTTTCTATAAATAGAAACAGGATTGTGCATCCGTCGCGAGTCCCATCGACGGAGGAGTGACTGCATCGGGGTCTGGCGCTCAGAAGTCCGTGGGCTATAAGGGGTGGTCGCGCGAGGTGGAGGGCTGCGGCTGCGGCTGCGGCACGGCGCGGTACGCCTGGCCGCTGGAGCGGCGCGACGAGCCCGCCCCCGCCCCCGCCCCTTCCCCGCCCCCGCCCCCGCCCCCGCCCAGCCGCAGGCACGAGGCGCGCGCCCTGCGCACCGCGCCCACCGCCAGCCACGCCGCCAGGCACGCGCCGCTCAGCCCCAGCCCCTGCGGACAGTCGTCGCCCCAATAATAATAGGCGGTTAGCAATAATAACACCGATATAACGTATCCCCTGCCTGTCCTAAAAGGCGACTAAAAGGAGACACGGAATCGCAACAGTTCGAAAATGGAGCTTGAACTGTTCAGAATGGTAAGGGAACCGGGGAAGGACTGTCCTTCTCCGAAAGGTGCTCATGCTGGTTATCTTTTGAAGGTTTCCCCCCGATCCAAAAAAGGGAGGAACTTACGGCGGCGGCCAGCAGCAGCTGCGCCAGCTGGTGGGGCGTGTAGCGGTAGGCGGGCGCCAGCAGCACGGCGTGCAGCGTCACCACGCCGCCCCCCGCCAGGGACGACGCGCTCCACGCGCCGGCGCACCCGCCCTGCCGACCAATGGCAATATTTCATTCCTTTTCAATCACCTATAACAAATCATCCACCTCTCATTCTACACGATGAACAAGCAGTAAATATAGGGAAACTTTACTTTAGTTACTCTTACACAGTTTCTAACTAAGTTAACTAAATATTCCTAACAATCACAACTCGGACATTCTTAGTTTCAAACAGAAAAATTCATACAAGTATTAGAATTGAAAGGAACCTTCCAGTAAACCAGTATCCCGATTACTGAATGCACACAAGTTTGAAACCCTTGCAATATGCATATTTTATATTCAAAAAGGGCCTTCCAATAGAGTGCATCACTTCCCCAGTCATATTACAAGTATAGGCTTAGCAGAGTCGCACCGGTTTGGTCCTGTCATATGGTAGGTGCGGGCTTAGTAGAGTTGCACCAGTTTGTTACAGTCATATGGCAGGTGTGGGTTCGACTAGAGTCACACCAGTTTGTTCCAGTCGATGGGCAGCAGGTCTGCGAGGCGGGTGACGTGCATGGCGAGCAGCAACGAGTGCAGCATGAACGAGGAGAGCGCCGCCAGCTGCAGCAGCCGCACGCGCCCCGCCAGCGGCAGCTGCCCCACGCGAAGCCCCACGCCCGCCCACAGGCAGCCGCACGTGCTCGCACAGCACAGCTGCCGAACAGTGTTGACATTATATATTAACATTTAACACATCTCAGCGGCAACTTACACTAGGTGACACCTATACTAGATGTTGAGTGTCATAAAGTATGGCTTCTTAATCACGATATTATACTGTTACATTATAATATCTCATGCACCAAACGTTTGTGTGGGTGTGTTCCCAAGGAGTGTTGAAGCCAGGAAGGCGACCGGTAAAAAACCTAGCCAAAACCAGTCATGAAATGATTCACATGTCGTGCCAAACACTACGTGGGATAAGGGGGGGAAGATGATGAAGATAGTAATAACCCATGGTTTTCTGTACTGAATACTAATGATTGTTCAAAATGTGCAAATGAATTGTGTTCATATGATTATTATTATATATGCTTTATTGATCACCATAAAATATAAAAGAAATGTTACAAACAAAAGTTATGAGGTAGTACAATAAGGCGGTCTTATCACTAAAAATCAATCTCTTCCAGACAACCTTGTGGCTATAAGTATAACATTTTGGACAACGGTAGGTGGTGCAAATATACTTACATAGTAAGATCTAAATAAACTAAACAAATATATTATATTTTGGATAATAGTAATATACTTATATATACCAAATAAGATACAATAGACATACATATACTAAACAAACTAAACATATACTATACAATAACTTACAAAAATACATGTATACAGGGAGAAAAGTTTAAAAATGTTGTCAGTGACAATCAGTGTCAACACAGTGACAGATAGTAATTTTTAACATTAGTTTTGAACTTTCTTAACGTTTTTGCGCGCTGGATTTGTGGAGGAAACGCGTTCCGTAGGCCATTTGGTCCGGAAAAGTATACGGGGCGAGAGGGGCTCTTTCTGGTCTGTCATGACCAAGAAATTTGATATGATTAATATTTGATTCCTAAGAGAATATTTATAGTATTCTACTGTCAATGTGAACAATAGAAAAAAACAATCTCTATCAAAATTTCACTAGTGATGGAACCATCATTTGAACTTATATTGGTCCAGTATACTAGACGAGTATACAGGCACCAGTAGACTAATCTATCAGAATTTTGTAAACATATGAGTACAGAATATTAGGCATATAATATCTAAAGTTTCATTTTTCAGAAATGATCAAACACAATATAACTGATAAACATACTAAAAGTAAAGTGAGGGCCTATACATGTCTGCTGGGCAAAGGCCTCCTCTATACAGAGGGTATCAGGGCATAGTCTATCACGCGGCCCCACTGCGGATGGGCGGACTTCACATATCTTCGAAATATATATATATATATATTTTTTTTTGTTATTATTTCGAAAATATGCATGTTTCCTCATGTTGTTTTCCTTCACCGGAGCACGTGATAAGTCACCACTTAAAGTTAAAAACTTCATTGGTGCCGGAACCGGGGATCGAACTCAGGTTGCTCTATTATATTGAATTAAAGACGAGGCACCCGGACACTGAGCCATCACGGGTCTTCGAACTGCTAGCAAGTGTAGTAACTTAAATATCTATTGTAATATAAAATTAACAATATATAAACATCCAAACACTGTTCATCACACAATATCTTTCCAGTAGTGGGGTTCAAACCCACACCCTCTTGTGCATAAGGCTTTTAATATGATCTATACATACAAGAATATTTTTAATTAAAGTTGTAGCATGTGTAGCAATTTAAATGTAGGTTTCTTATTATTAAAATGTTCGTCAACTGGACAACCAATATAAGGACGAATATAAGAACAATCTGGTGCGAGAAACAGGTTCACTACCCACTACACAAGTGTGTTTGTGCAGAGAGTATTAGTCAACTATAACATTTAAATGATTATGTACACAGCCAGATATAATAAAAGAAATACTCTCCACATCATAGATATATGTAACCTGCTTAAAACCTGCATTAAAAATTTACAAAAACAAAACCTTTTTTAAAGATAGATAGTACTTAAAAATTTTAATTAATAGCTCATTGTGGTAGGAAAATAATAATAAAATGTATAAAACAATTCTGTAATCACAAAAAACAATTGTATAAAAACATTCTATTGTACTCTCTCTCATTCAACTACAATGCAAAATGATTGTCAGTCTACAGCATTGTGTTCCATTGTCTGTACGTGAGAATGGTCTCCTGAATGTTTAACGTGAATCAACCCACTCAGTCATTTAACATTTCACAAATTATGAAAAGCCTTTCAAAGCTAGCAAAATGAGGGTGAGTGGTTTATGCATTTTATAATACACCCTAGTGTATAGCGGCATGTACTTACTCTAATATTTACACAACTCTCAAATTAGTTTGGAAGTGGACTAACTGGATAAATAAACTTCCTAAAAAAAATTAACAAAAAAATTCTGATAGATATGAAGTAAATATATAATTTTAAAAATGATTCCAATGACATATTGAATCCTATAAACATGTATTTTATATGATCTAGCTGTGTTTTCTCTGTATGTCTCTTTTAAATTTTCCCGCTGAATTTCTTTCACTGCTTCTCCTCAGGTCAGGGGCTTTTTTTTCTATTCTTCTTCTATATTGAACAAAGTTTATTAAAATTCAAAGATATTTTTGTATGTGTATCAATGATTATGTTATATATGTTCACAAAAATAAGAATGACTTTTCAAGATTTAGTAATGTGCATGATGTAAATACTAGGAACAAGCATAAATTAGTTGTACCCTCAACTAGATTGCGTAGAATTAGTAAATCTTTTATGGGACAATGTATATGTTTTTACAACAAAAAACAAGAAAACGATCAAAATGAATCCATTGCTAAATTCAAAAAGTTGTAAAGGAAAGTTTGTGTGTTAATGGCTATTATAGTGATTATTTGAATGATAACACACTCTGGAAATGAATTGATCGCTCCAGGCTCTTTCAATTGAAATTTAATAAATTGTACACATATTTGTAATTTTTTTGGCAAGTAAAAAAAGAAATGTCCCCCCTGAGTTTCTTACGCCAGTTCTTCTCAGGTCAGTGGCTTTCCTTCCCAACTGGTGGTAGAGTTTTTTGACTATCAATAAGTAAGTGTATGCTTCTATATTGAATAAAGATATTTGACTTTGTCTTTGAATAAGCTCAATGCAAGAAATCTAGTCAATGAAGAGATAGCATAGAAGAAATATATAAGGACTAGAAGGACCTTGGCGGTTTCTATATAAACTTTATTATCTGTTATCAATTTTATTATCTATTATTCTGTTGCTGTGCATAAACATAACACGAGATTATTTGGACATAATATTCCAAGAATTGATGGCAAACTGCACTGCCAGCCGGCGGCGGACCTGCACATTTGCAACATGCTCGAAGAGGAACTCACCACGACGAGCAGCGTGAGGGCGCCCTCGGGGCTGCGCAGGTGGCGCAGGCGGCAGTAGAGCGGCGCCAGCGGGCGCGGGCGCGGCGGCGGCGCGCGCGAGTAGTGCGCGTGCGAGTCCCACGAGTGGTCGGTGTGGTCGGTGAGGTCGGTGGCGGCGGGCGAGCGGCCGCCCGCGCCCGCGCACCCGCTGCCCGCGATCTCGAAGTCCTGCACCTCCTCGCCGCGGCAGCTCGTCGGCTCCAGCTCGCGGATCTCCTCCAGCAGCAGCTCCACTTCGTCGGCCGAGTACAGTTCGCTCGACGACACGTAGCGCGCCGGCGCCGCTTGCATGTCACCCGCGGCGAGCTCTACCGCCGAGCGCCGCCGCCCCGGCCCCTCCTGCGACAGCGCCGCACGTTAGCGCGACAGTCTCGCCCCGCTCTCGGCTCCCTATCCACTCGTCAGCTCCCCGTCCTTCGTCCGTTCGGACACCTTCCTTTACCTCTCTCGGCCGTTGACATCGATACTCCGTTCCCCCGGCGACGACCGCATAATCCGGGGACGCGGGTATCCTATGATGATACGCCGACTTGTAAACAGATCAATTCGACGACGCTCTACCAGCACGCCATGTTTGTTATCATATTTTTTTTCAAACAATTCTGTTCTATCTATGCCTATTTCATTTCAACCATAGACAAGAGCGCTCGGATAACTATAGTATAAATAGTATATTTATTTTTTTATTATGTACCGATTAATCTGAAGCTCCTTCTAATATTCCCATTTTGATCAATGTGTCTATCAGCCTCAAACAATGAAATTAAAGTAACCAAGCGATAAACTGTGTAGTTGCAAACTTGAAAAATTATACAAGTTATAACATAAATGTCTTTAATAAAATGTCTGTTATGGACGTATGTATATTTTATTTATTTATTATGTTAGTGTTATGTAACTGATGGGAAAGATTTATTCCCAATCAACTATAAATTATTGACACATAGAATAATAAAAATGTATTAAATTAATACGAAAATACATAATTATAGAAAGACGTTTTTTACAAAGACGTTTTTCTCTCGACTGCACTTGACACACGTTGGAACAGTACAAATTTTCAAATTTAATACCTGTTAAGTGGCCAGTAATCCTCAGCGGAATGTTATGAAATCTCTAACAGTAACTATTAGATATTTATTATTTTTTATGTATTTAATATTATTTTTCATAACGTGTTTATACTTATTTTATAATATATAAAGTAATATATGAACTATATTGTAGAAAATGCCTTATGGCGTTAAGCTCGCCGTTTGTACCAACTTGTACAAAAACTGATTAATACATCTTAAATAAATAAATAAGTATGTAAATTAGAACGTTCAACACCTTAGCCTACGTTGTAACCATAAATATTGCGAATCATTTGAAGCGTGAAGATTTATAAACGTAATATAATAAAAAACATAAAAACGTTTAAAAAAGTTACCCTAGGATATCTCTCTTCTTTGTTTCCGCAAAGTCATTTGCGTTAAAAGCTCTTCACACTCATCTTATCGAATGTCAAAAAAAAACAACCAGTGGTTCACTAAATTAGATCTAAAATATATATTTAATTTGTGGTAGGCCCACGCAGCAGCCTCGGCTGGAGCCGGAGCTCATTTTTCAAAAGGTTGTCACCGCATCTGGAACCCTCGGGTGTTACAGATGTCCATGGGCGGTGGTATTCACTTAACATCAGGTGGAGCACCTGCTCGTTTGCCAACATTTCACATTAAAAAAACTCCGCGAACCTCCCTCCCACAATGGGCGTTCCTTAAGGCTCCTGCATCTCCCCTTTGCTCTTTTCACTTTACTCGAAAGAAGCCCCCAAGCAAAGTAAATATTAATCAATACTTTACTTGTGGGTACCGTATATCAAATCTCTATACTTCACGGAGAAACATCTCACCCGAGTCCCTGGTCAGTTTCAAAGTATCAATTGCCTGGGCGATTGTTTCCGAAAATGAACCATAAGCGTGAACCCAGAGTTTAGCAATATAATTCGCTCGGCCTGCCTTGTCATTAACTGCAACGTAACCTTACAAAGACACCAACTCCCCGATCAGGAAGCTAGGGCTTATAAATTTATACAGTACCAGGACCTCACAGAAGATCGGCATGAAGTGGAAGTACAATACTTTAGCGTTTCGTCTGGTGATTGAGGTAGCCGTTGTTCACGTAAGCCCCACAAACCTGAATAAACTTCAGGTAAATCAAAATAAGTTCATACGCCTCGCAACCAGCGTAGCGTCGACCTGAATTGCGATTGCAGACTCCATCGAAAGAGCCGAAGACCAATACAACCCTCTGGTGAAGAATGAAACTATCATCGAGCGGGCGAGGAGGACATGGGTAGGTAAGAAAGACAGACAAGGTAAAAAAGGAGAAAGACATAGGGGGGGACCTCGCATACGAACAGCCCTATCCAATACAGGCCATATCAAGCTGGTAGGTTCTGGATAGCCCACAAGCTCTGCCTTTGATGAAGCTTTGATAGTGTAGGGGCTGAAAGCGAAAACCTCAGTTAAAGTCGAAGTAAAAAAAGTCAATTTTGTTTTAAAAAGCATTTCAACATTTTTAACTGAACTAGGGCGAGCCAAGCGTAAGGTCACTGATAGATTATACATCAAACGCAATTAAAAAACCATTTTTGTAATATCAAAAGATTTATTCAAGAAAAAACATCACGGTGCCATTTATTTCTTACTCACGACTTATATCCATATCACAGAATCAATCATAAAGTTTACCATTGGTTTAACAATAACAAAACTTAAGGCCAACTATGGCCGATTTCAATATTCTATCTGTAGATTTGGCTACTGGAGAGAGAATGACAAGTAACCAAATGTACAGATAGATAGAAATTTTCAAATAGGCCGTTAGTGTTTCAAGCAAATGTATTAAGCTACACTTAAAAACTAGTAAAAAAAAAAGATTAGCAATACCTAAATTAGATATTGGCTTTACTAACATTAATCATTTATAACTTATTAGCAAAATGTGATAGTTTTCAATTTAACAAATCAGAATATTCAAGCTATTGCGAAAAGCAACACTCATATAGGAACAATCTATTTGTGCTTTTAAGAATAAGGAACAGTAACATCAGATCACTGATTTCATTAAAACAGATCGAAAGAGAGAGAAAATGATTTTATAATTTGCACATAATAATAATTAATTTTGTCCATGTCAAATCTAAACTAATAAGTAACAGTTTTTATATGTATACATACAAATTAGTTTTAGGCACTGTTGTCTGATGAAATATTTAGGAATGTTCAAACATTTCTTATCACAATTATCATTTAGTCTAATTACAAAAACTGTTCATTGCGCACTTTCAACATGACAGTTAAGTTTATAGAAAAAATGCTACGAGGTAGTGAGGTCGGTCAGATAGAATTTTGAATTTTCGACAAAAATATTAATTTTGGATACAAGGTACGACAATTTGGCATTTTGGCTCGGTTTAACGGACAATCGACAGGGTCTTTTAGAAGTTTTCGAAGCCGGGCGGGGGCCGGATGCCGGGGGGCAGTCGCATCAGGGCGTGCGCGCTCTCGAGGAACCTTCTAACGGGTGGCGCCACGGGGGGCGGCGGGGGGATAGCGGGGGCGGGGGCGGGGGTAGGGGCACGCCACTCGGTCTGCGTTTGGGCGGGCTGCACGCGGAACTCGGGCGCGTCGGGGTTCAGCCGGGGCGGGGGCGGGGCAGAGGCAGAGACCGCCCGCGCCATCGCCTCCACCATGAAGCGGTGCGCGGCGCCCGGGTCCACGCGGTTCAGCAGCCAGAACACCTCGCAGTCGGACGCGGAGAGCATGACGCCCCGCGGCGGCGGCGGGGCCGGGGCCGAAGGGGCGCGGGGGGGCGCTCCGGCCGCGGGGCGCGGGGGGCCCGGCGGCCTCGGGGTGAACGCGCCGGGCGCAGGGGGCGCTGGGGGCGAGGGGGGCGCTGGGGGCGAGGCGGGCGAGGGGGTCGTTGGGGGCGAGGCGGGCGCTGGGGGCGAGGCGGGCGGAGAGGGCGCGGGCAGGCAGGGCGGCACGTGGCGGCGGAAGTCCTCGACGAACTCGAGGGCGATGCCGTCGCGCAGGTAGGTGTGGATCTCGGCGTAGTTGGGCGTGTCGCCGCTCTCCAGCGCCTCGAAGCTCGGGTACAGGTAGCACTCCGACGTCTGAAACGATCCACCCGGTCGAGGCCTCAGCGTAAGCTCACACTCGGTGGGGTCGGCGCGACTGTTCAGACCTCGTAGGCCTTGTAGGCACTATATATATATATATATCGACACTTCGAGGATGGAACTATGAAGACCGTCGACGACTACGACTCGCGGCTTAAAAGGTTCCTCTCGATGCGATTTAGGACTCGATTAATATCTTAGTATATAACCCTCGACTTCGGATAATCGTGTGAGAAGTGAGATTCAATTTGTTATGTGAAATGTAAAAGACATCAAATGCCTGCCTTAACTTCAGTTTGTTCCTTTTAATATAAGCATTTTGTTTTATTTCAACTTAAAACATATTTTCGTATTACAATGTGGCCTCATAATTTTGTACAAGTGTAGTATTACTATAAATTTGTTTTAATATGTGTATTAGTGTTATATATTATTTTGTTTCCGTAAAAGAAAGTAAAAGGTAGAAATTAAACTAAGGGCATAGCGTCAATGCCAAACCTTAGTATATTATGTACTAGTCTTTGTACTGTTATAAAAATTAAATAAGTTCATTTACTTACATTTTTTTTATTTGATGTGTTTCACAACAATGAAATGGATAGTTTAATAATGTGTACTCAAATGGTAATAGCTCACTCATTTCTTTTACATGTATCATTTATGTAAGAATACTACATATAATTATACTACATAGTACTTTTATGGATGTTTAACCAGGAACAATTTTCAAAATCAATGAAATATCAAACCCGGTGAAATATAAACCAAAATAAATCATGTTTAAAATGTTCAATCGTAACTTCTCTTTTCATGATAAGAGAAAATGGGTGCGTTCACTTATATACGCGCGTGAGAAGTTATACTTCTTTGGGCATCATTAAAAATTAGTTTTTAATTGCATACAAGAAGCCAATAATCTGATGGTAAAACTGAACTTAGCAAACCAGTGAGATAGAGTTTATATATATAATATACTTATGCATACAAATGTTCAAAAGTTGAGCAAAATTATGAAAGCGCCATCTACATTTTTTATTAAGAACTGTAATGGGCGAATGTGAGTGAGAAAATGCTGCATCTATAAAAAACCTTTGTGTTACAGTGATGCGCGCGCATCCTAAAATTTCACTCTTATAATTTTTTCACAAGGTGCCTAAGGCAGTATAATTTCAAATAAATTAAAAAAAAAATTGAATGCCGACTGCAAAGGGCAACAGTGAAACAATAAAAGTCTGTTAGATTACAATTAAAGTCTGTTATTGGGTAACGGTTGAAACTTTTAGGACATTATGGGAGTGAGATACTCGCTCGATGGGGTTAATACTTGTAATGAGTACGAAATTCGCGCGCGCCAGGCTGCAGAGTGTCGGAGACGGGATCACTCTTGCAGCTTGTTCGCCAGCTCGAGCTTGCGATGCAGCAGTTGGCTCTCGAGGCTCCGCGGGCGCCAGCCGGGCCGCAGCCGCTCGTGCAGCGCGCCGATCCGCGCCAGGCGGCCGGACGCGTGCGACCCCGCGCCGCTGACGTCACTGGCCGCGGCGCCAGCGCCCTCCTCCTCCTCCTCGTCGCAGGCCCACGTGGCCAGGCGCCGCGGCCCCGCCACCTGGCTGGCCGAGGCCGACGCCTCGCTGGCCGCGTCCGCCTCGCGCCCGAAGAGCGCCACGGCGGTGGCCAGCGAGCGCACGTCGAGCTCGCCGGCGCCGGAGCCCGCGCCGGACCCACTCACCCCGAGGCAGCAGTCGGCCCTGGCGTCCGCGTGGCCCGAGCGCACCAGCTCCGCGTTGATGCACACGTCCTCGTCCGCGGACGTGTCCACCAGCACCACCTCCAGCTCGCGCGGGGCGCGCGCCACCAGCTGCGCCACGAGGCGCCGCTCGCTGAGCCGCCGCAGCAGGTGCGCGGCCGAGGCGCGCGGCCAGCGGCGCCCGCCCGCCGGCGGCCGCACGCCCGCCAGCCGCGCGCGCAGCGCCTGCTGCGGCAGCCGCGCCCAGCGCCGCAGCAGCGGCCGCAGCTGCGCCGCCGCGCACCGCTCCACCGTGCCGTAGTCCACGTGCCGCACCTGCCGAGCGCCACGGCGTCAGCGCCTCCAGCTCCCCACTGCGCCGCCCCCCCGCCGCCCCGCCGCCCCGCGTACCTTGACGGTGTCGCTGTCCAGCACCTTGACGATGAGCGAGCGGTGCCAGTCGCCCTCGTAGCAGCTGCTGCAGTAGTGGCCCGGGCGCACGGCGCCGCGCGCCAGCACGCGCCCCCGCCCCTCGCCGCGCCAGTAGTACTCGCTGCCGAACAGGCCACCGTTACCGACACCGCAGCGCCACTGGGCGAGTGCCGACACAGAGACTCTGGCACAGTGGCGGAGCGACTGACTTCATCTCGTCCATGAGCTCCTCCATGGCGATGTTGTACGCGTCGCCGAGACGGATGAGCCAGAGGTGCGAGGGCGAGTAGAGCTCGCCCACCTGCACCTCGATCATCGACTCCTCGGGCATCTCCGCGTGCGGGATGCTCTCCATGTAGTGCATGCAGTCCGCCGGAAACACGTCTGCCTCCTACAGTTTGACACAGGGAGACTAAAGAATTTGTCACTAATTTTGCACTACAAATTCTATTAGCTAATGTGTTAAAAAAATAATAAAAAAGGTTGAAGCAGGTGATGAAATTACAAAATCAATGCCGGGCAACGCATCGTCGGGGTCCACCGCGTCGGACGGCGGGGGCGGGTGGGGCGGCAGGGGCGGGTGGGGCCTTTGGGGCGACGGGGGCGGGTGGGGCGACGTGGCCGAGGGGGGGCGGCGCGCCAGCAGCTTCCAGTCGGCGGCGCCCTCGGGCCGCCAGATGCTCAGGCTGTCCTCCAGCACGCACGCCAGGCTCAGCACGCTCGTGTAACCGAAGCGGGAGAAGTTCAGCTCGCGCCCGTACCGCTCCCTGTAATCGTTGTCGACCGTACACATCTCGAAAGCCACACACAGCTTACCGGCTTAGTTGGGAGAGGGATATTTTAAAAGATATCCTGTGTCCTATGCCTCATTGGTTGCCGCCTTGGTGTCGATAGATTGCAATGGTGGACCTGATGAAGCATAAACATCTGCCAAGGACAATTTCTTTCTTTTTCTTTTGCGGGTAGAGGACATCTTACTTGTCACACATTTGTACATGTACATCGTCCATAGGCTGTAGGATGGATAGTACTAATGCTCCTCTGTACTGTTCCATGATCACGCTTTGGCGAGGGAGGGAAGAAAAGATGTTCACCACTTCCCAAGTGCTTTGCAGCAAATCGAGACCAACATAAAGAAGCGAGTGTCCCCTTTTTTATTGTCTTCCCCAGGGAGAGCCCTTCAAATCACTTTGCTGAGACACTCTCTTATCAAAATGCTTCAATATATAAAATGCAACATTATAAATAAATTAAAATGATCATGCATTAACTATATATACATCAACTGTCATTTCCTTTTATACTTTAAAATATTTTACTTGAAATCTGCCATATTGTTGATATTACCTGTAAAGCCTAATGAGCTCAGTGCACCAAACACCTTCAGGGTGGTCCAGTATGAGACTTTTAATTTCTACTTTCAATTCCTCCAACTGGGTCCATTTAGCGCTGTCATTGCCTATAAATAAATAATAAATAAATATTTTAGGACAAATTTTTACACAACATTCTCTAGTCCGAAAATAAGAACACTTGTACTATTCGTGCTAGATAACTCATAAACATACTTAAACATACTTTTCTTTTGTAAATAAATACATATCATACATATAACACCCAGACACTAGGAAAACACTATTTTTTTCCAGTAGTGGGGATTGAACCCACACCCTCTGGCGCAGGAGGCAGGCACACTATGTTGTCATGTTACAAATTTAATTTAAGAAACAATATAAGTCAAATTTCTATAGAAGCTGGAAAGGACATTTATTTTCTGTGTAGAAAAAATTTGTAGAAATAAATTATAGTGAGATTAGATTATGTTTACATTTATTTTAAGTTTTTCTAATATTATTTTACATAATGAGTAGTTACATTATTATTTTTAAGTGTTCTATGTATCTATTGTGCTTAGACCGAGAATAAACATTTCTTCTTCTTCTTCATTAGAATGTGTTTACGAAAAAATATCTAAATAGCCATGATATTATAATAATGCGAAAAATATTTACGTCAAATTTGTTTATACTTACTAGATGAAGTCTGTCTGCCTGAATCAGTGTCATCTTTAGAGGAATCTTTCTCTTTATGATTAGAATCTAAATTCTGTGAGGAATCATAATAAGGTATACGTCTTTTCATAAATTTTTCCAAAGCACTTCTGGAACATAATGCATTGTGTGAAGGTTGATTACTCACAACATTATTTTCTTGAGGATTTGTGTCTTGATTTGTTATTTTGTCTTTATCTACTTCTAGCACTTTTTTTACACTATTTTGACTTTTAATTTTTTGCTTCTGAGTAAAACTTTCACAAATAAGGTTTTGTTTTGGTGAGAGGTTGGCGACAGGAATGCTTCTTCTCTTTTCTTTGCTGTAAATGAATGAAAATTGCATGGAAAATTATAATAAATATTTATGTTAAGGTATTATCCCTACTATTAGCATCATTCTTAACTAATCTTAATATTTGATAATTTTTCAGGTGAAATGGACTTCCATTTATAATACTTACTTCTTATGTGTTGAGGTTACTTTTTGTTTTTGTACAAACTTGTCAATGTGCTTCAGTGAATCGGGCACAATTAATGTCAGCACTGGATTAAGAGCCTGCCCTTGAAACTGCAAAAACATATGTTAATGTAAAATAAGCATTTCAATATTTAACAGGTTAAGATCTATCAACTTTGCCTCAATAAGCCTTTTAGACTTACCACAAAACAGTCAGTAAACCTCTCCTTAAGGAATTGAACAGGGTCTTTGTACCCATACTTGGCAAGCGGTATGGGCTTTCCAACCATGCTACGGTAGTCTCGCATCAGAGTACGAACATCTACTTGCGTTGGGCTTGACACAACTAATGACCTTAACACTGACTTAAGCTCCTTTATTTCATCCTCCATTTTACCTAACATAAGAGCGTCATTGAAATAATTTTTGTAAAATATATTTATGAGCGATATAATTATATTCAATGTTGAAAAAGTACGAAAGATTGTCGCCGCTGTGGGAATCGAACCCGTCTTCGGCATTCGCGGCCTGAAGCTCTAGCCACTGAGCGAAATGGCCGATAGCCAGAGCGACTAAAATCTTAACGACTCAAATCTTTTTCTACATGTTTTAAGGCCAACTGAACTTGAACGAATTCTATAGTGAAGTTTACAAATCTGAATGGGAAGTAGTGTTTTTTATTATTATGAGATGTATGTGCGCTTCGCTAACTGGACATTCCACATTTACATTATACTCTATGCCAAAATAGTCTGTGGTGTGAACCATATTAGTCTGAGGACTAAAATATCGTCTTTATCAATACAATGCTATTCATAACTCAGCAACTAATATCTCCGAATCTATTAATGATATTTGGATTTTTCTTATATTAGTAGTCACCTACAGTATACACTGAGTACAACAATAAATTACAACTGAGAGTTAAAAAAGGTTTTTGAAATCATTCTCAAAAATTATTAATTAACACAAAATAACAAGTTTTTTCTTATATCAATAAAATTACTTTTTATCAAATAATTTTAAATAAGAATTGAAATGCTCCCCCTGTACAAATGTATTATCTAATACTATTTACTTCAAAAGAAATTACTAAGCAGCTAGCAATTTATTTTAGAAGTAAATAGTCTTACAAAAAAAACAACTTAATTTATAGAGATGGCTGGGCAAAATAACATTGTTCAGAATAAAAAACGACAAGCCCCTGAATATTTCACTATGAGTGAAAAGTAAAAGTAAGTAACAGCCTATACATGTCCCACTGCTGGGCAAAGGCCTCCTCTATACAGAGGGTATCAGGGCATAGTACACCACGCGGCCCCACTGCGGATTGACGGACTTCACATATCTTCGAATTTTTTTTTTGTTATTATTTCGAAAATATGCAGGTTTCCTCACGATGTTTTCCTTCACCGCGGAGCACGTGATAAGTCAGCATTTAAAGTTAAAAACTTCATTGGTGCCGGCACCGGGGATCGAACTCAGGTTGCTCGAGTATATTGAATTAAAGGCGAGTGCCCGGACACTGAGCTATCACGGCTCTATTCATGAGTGAAAGTTATATGCAAATAATGGCTATTATGATTGTAAATAAGTAATACCATCTAGGCCCCGCCATGTGTTTGACATAGCAAAAAGAAAGCATTTCCTACTATTTTTCCTAAATTAACAAATTTATGTCTAATTTAAACCACCTACCTTACCTTGTTCGGAATAAATCAATTATAGTCGTAGGTATTTATTACCTAAGCCTGTCTGTTTCCTTTTTATTTTCTAATTAAAAAACAACAACAACATTATTTACTTAGTAGTTTTAAAAATGTAATAAAAACAATGAATTAAAATCATAGAGTAAAGTAATTACTACGGAAATGATTAAAATCTATAGCCTTTGGTCAGGCATGTTGATTGGTAATCTCAGATTATACATACTCTTTTGATATCAACCCTGATCTTCTTGGTTTATGTATTATGTTTGAATTACTTTAAATTAAATTTAGAATGTTAGTTTTATTTGTTCAGACTGAATTGTGTCATATTTGATTGATTCCGTAAAAATCGTTTGAAGATGTAACATGTATATCATCTGACATAACTCCTGTATTTTATATAAATTCAATAATGATTACGTTTGGTCCAAAAATAAGTTTAAAATGTTTAAGTTGAAATAAACAGTTTTCCTATCAGTCCTTAAGTGTCTTTTTGGTTTGAAAATGATCCCATTAGCCACATCTACCATTCAAGAAGGCAGACTCTGTCTGTGGTCAACTGGTCAGTCAGATCAGATGAACACAGATCATATGTGTGTGATGTTAGGTGAATACCGCCGCCCATAGACATCTGCTACACCCTAGGGTTCCAGATGCGTTGACAACCTTTTGAAGATTGGGCTCCGGCCACCTCACTCACCAGATGAAACGCGATAGTATTATCTTCCACTTTTCGTCGGCTTTCTATGAGGTCGCGCAACAGCCCAGGCTGCTGCGTGGGCCTACCACCGTAATCAAGCACTCTTCAATGGCTCTACCACCACTCTTCAAATGATTGTCCAAAGCACCGGCTAAAATCAAACTACAATTACACAAAAAAAATGAAATATCGATAAAATATAGCTTTGTAGAAACTGATCGTTGTTACAATTAGATCATCAAAGTCTGTATGTAACATCTTGCTAACGATAGATAGATAATATGAGAGAAATGAACTTACGCGGGGGGGGAGAGGAATTAATCACGTACGTTATTGATGTATCGACCGGATCTTCTATTACATTCATAGATTGGCAAACTCTAGGTGCGAGAGGGTGTTTTATAATATGATATACAAATACTAGTTTATTTGGCTGAAAGTCTTATGACCGATGACACATAGATAATATAAAAAATGACAAATCCAGTTCAAGTTTGACTTTTGATTTCATTGACGTTCGATCAAAACATTGTGCATTTCTTACGATTGAAAAGGAATTACGTAAGGTTAAACGAGTAAAATATCTTTAAACATGTCTTTCTTTTTGAAACGCGCCATAGGTGCAAGCTGTCACCTAGGTCGCACAGTATTAAAAAGTACGAACCTTCCGTCTATACAACTGGTGGCTACAAAAACTGATCAAGGAACACCACAAGTTGAAACTCGACCAACTGTAGCTAAAGTTGACCCCTTACAAAAAGCTCAACTTGTAGATTTTGGCAAGTATGTTGCCGAATGCCTACCCAAGTATGTGCAAAAGGTACAGCTTACTGCTGGTAACGAATTGGAGGTATTGATTCCTCCGGAAGGCGTTATTCCGATTTTACAGTTTCTGAAGGATCATCACAATGCTCAGTTCGCAAGTCTTGTTGATATTGCGGGCATGGATGTACCATCTCGCCCGAATAGATTTGAGATTATATATAATTTGTTATCACTGCGTTATAACGCTAGGATTCGCGTCAAGACTTACACGGACGAATTAACGCCCGTGGAATCTGCATGTGAAGTGTTCAAAGCTGCCAACTGGTATGAGAGGGAAATATGGGACATGTATGGAGTGTTCTTTGCAAATCATCCGGACTTGAGAAGAATATTGACTGATTATGGGTTTGAGGGCCATCCATTTAGAAAAGATTTCCCTCTCAGTGGATATGTAGAAGTTCGTTACGATGATGAGCAAAAGCGTGTTGTAATTGAGCCATTAGAACTGGCCCAGGAGTTTAGGCGATTTGAGCTTAGTGCCCCATGGGAGCAATTTCCCAACTTCAGAGGAAACCCTGTTGCAGAAGAGGTTACTAATAACACCACTGAAGCTCCCAAGAAAGAGTAGTGATTGTAAAGTGTTATATTAAATGAATCGATGTTTAGCTTTTCATTATTTCCATATGTAAACAGAAGTTGGAGCTAATATAAAGCATAATAAATCTTTTTTCTTCTCATCCTCAATAAAAGAAAGTCCATAATGTTGTCAGTTCATTTGGTACTAGAAATTGTGGTCTTGCATGAATCACTTCACTGCTGTGTGCCTCTATCACAGGAAAAGGTTCCAGCTGCTCTTACTTATACTGTGTCAACAATACCTATAGCCCACTCAAATGTGAGAGAAAGTTTTAGGAATGTTATCCTTCCTGCTACTGGTATACAGGAAGATTTTTTAGACAGTACATACTTTGACATAATGTTAATTGAGCATTCCATAATTAAAAAAACATATTACTTTTACAAGAAATAACCAGAAAAATGCTAATCCAAAAATGGTTTGTTTATCCCGTTAAGAGTAGTCACCCTCTGATGAGCAGTTTAGTAACTATTATGCATTCAGGGAACAGTTTTATTGCTTGTGAACAGGTATTGAGAGGCAGGAATTTTTAATAGGATGTCCATAATGTTCGAAAAAAAAATTCTTTAAAAACAAGTATGTACCAGATTCAGATTTAGAATACGATACTGCATAAGCTGTTGTCTGCATAATATGTCAGTCGCCTATAAAATCTCCCTGTATAAATATGCACGAATAAAATCAAAATCAATTCTTTATTCAACATGGGAGCATTACACTCATTTATCGATAGTCAAAACACTACCACCGGTTCAGAAAAGAAATCCAATGTTCTGAGAAGAACCAGCGAAAGAAACTCAGCGGGCTTTTTTTTAAATAAGCAGTTTGACATGAATTCATTACAAATACAATATAAGAACTCTGATTGAAAAAACGATTGAAGAAATTTGAATGGTGGTGGGGCAACGCAGCAGCCTCGGCTGCTGCACGAATGGGCAGGCTCATCCAAATAAGTACCACGACCTCATAGAAGACCGGCGTAAAGTGGAAGTATAATACTTTCGCGTTTCGTCTGTTGAGTGAGGTGGGCGGAGCCCGATTTTTAAAAGGTTGTCAACACATCTGGTACCCTAGGGTGTAGCAGATGTCCATGGACGGCGGTATTCACTTAACACCAGGTGAATGGTTTGTTCGCTTGGCAACTTCATAAAAAAAAAAGAGCCTGGAGCGATCAGTTCATTACCAGAGTGTGTTATCATTTAAATAATCATTAATATTTTAATAGCCTTTAACACACAAACATTCTTTTACAATTTTTTAAAATTTTGCTATTGTTGCATTTTGAACGTTTTCTGGAATTTTGTTGTAATAACGTATACATTGTCCCATAAAAGATTTACTTATTTTACGGAGTCTACTTGTGGGTAGGATCAATTTATTTTTGTTCCTAGTATTTATATCATGAACATTATTATGTCTTAAAAATTTATCCTTATTTTTATGGACATACAAAACATTTTCAAAAATGTATTGAGCAGCAACAGTCAATACCTTTATCTCTTTAAACAAGTTTCTTAACGATTCTTTGGAGCCCAGATTGTAAACTGCACGAATAGCTCTCTTTTGTAAGATAAAGATTGTATTAATGTCGGCCGCGTTACCCCAAAGCAGAATGCCATAAGACTATAAGAATGCCATAAGAATAGAATATTTTATGATCCATTAGGTTTTATATTTAATCCCAAATATGTTTATAACAACAAAGAAAATATATTTACTTACTGATAAAAGAAACACAAACCAAAAAAAGAACTAAGTTTGAGAAAAAAGTATGTTATAGTAATACATACCACAGTAAAAACAAAAGCAATACAAAATTTAAATTTAAAACTATGCGATCATATTAAAACAAAAATAATAACCCATTGCAATACAATCGTTTAGTGTTTTAGTGTAATACGTTTTGAAATGATTAAAAATATGCATAGTTAATAAATCAGAATCAACCACTCCCATGCTAATAGTATTAATACCATGGTGGAAGAGGTAACTGGGGAACATTGCCATGGTCCATTCTTTAAAAGTTGTGCAACACCAGGCACAGCCTGCTCACTTACCTGTTGCAGAAAAAAATTACAAATTAATAATCTCTGCTACTAAAACACATTGTTAAGTAAAATACTCGACATTGGTATTTTTATCCCAACCCGATAAATTCAGTGAAAACGTCAGTCATAATCAGGACCGACCGGAGAAAAAGCGGAGTTGAAGCAATAGTTTCCCTACTCCGCCAAGGGTGAAGTGAATTGAGTAATGAAACACGCATCGGCCTCTCGTAAAGTGTATATTGGTCAGCGGCGGTAGCGGTAGCGCTTGAAGTGGAACCAGAGCTGGAAGATGTTGTTGTGGAAGTGGCAGCGGAAGCCCCGCTTGTAGGAGTACTCCCACTCGCGGCTGACGATCTTGAAGGCGATGTCCTCGTAGGGCGGGCCGGCGTGGAAGCGCAGCACCGCGAACTCAGGGTTGTCGGGGCACGGCTTCTGAAAGTGCTTTATGTATTATAAACTTTATTTAATAAAACTTTCAATGTATTAAATACCCTTTTTCTATTGTTAGTGTCGTTTTTTCTACAAACGTAGAATAAGGCGAAAGGTAAAATTATTGAGATTTTTATCTTGTTACGCCAAAGAGGTATAACTTCCAACGCGTGTAACTCACTTTTTTTATTATTACTTCTAAAATATGCAGTCCTCACCATGTCCTTTATCATTGAGTAGATGACAACTCAGCATTTAATATTGCATTATCCAATTTCATTGGTAATAGCAGCAGGGTTTGAACTAAAATCGAGCGCCCAGACATTGAGTTATTTTTTGATATAAATATTAAACTAACGAGGGAAAACTCTGGCGTGGAACTCTTGTCGATGAGGTCTGGATAGAAGATATTGAATTTGTAGCCCTGCACAATCTTGGGGGGCGGGTTGTCCATGTCATAGTGAGTCTGGTTGTACTTGTTCCACTCGAAACCAGTGTGCACCCTGAAAATGAGCAATGATTCGTATAATTATTTGTATAAATGTAAAGGTTTGTCTTTTTTCTTTTTTGCATAATATTCAGCACAGATTTATATGATGGTTCAACCACATAAGTAATACTTTTATATTAATTAAAGAATAAGAATGCAATGGTTCCGGTCTTTTGCTCGAAATAAGAAATTTTAATAAAAAAGACTAAAGTAAGAAATCCAGTAAGGTCAACCTGTTGAAGTAGCGCGGCTTCCGGGGGCGGTACTTGTCCGCCCAGAGGCAGGGCTGCTCGGGCAGCGCGTGCTCCACGCTGAACTGGGCGCCGCCCTCGGCCTCGGCCGCGCCCATGCTGCGCCGCGCCGCCAGCTCCAGCGCGTCGCCGCTCGCCTGCTGCGCCGCATGAGCACAGTTATCGGAGCGGGCCGACGTGGGCCCCTTTGGGCAGTGCGCGAAGGTGCTCACCGCGGCGGGCGCGTGGAGGGGCGGCGGCTGGGCGGGGCGGTGGTGGCGGTGCAGCAGCGCGGCGCGCAGGTAGGCCAGCCGCTGGCGGTCGTGGTCGGGCGCGGTGAGCAGCGTGGCCGGCTCGAGGGCGGACGGCGACAGCGGCTCGGGCGAGTAGCCGCCGCTCTGGTAGAGCGCCACGCACGCGCCGCGGCCCTCGGCGCGCTCCCACTCGGCCGCCTCCGCCTCCGCTTCCGCCTCCGCTTCGGCCTGCGCCCCCGCGCCCGCCCCGCCTCCGCCTCCGCCTTGGGCGGGGCGGCGCGCGGGCTGGCGTCCGCCGGCGGCTGCACGCCCTGCTCGCGCTTCAGCAGCTGCAGCTTGCGGCGCAGGTTCAGCTGGTGGCGGTCGCGGAGGCGCGCGCGGGCCATGTGCGCTGCGAATGGTACGCACAATTAATACATTAACGTGTCTGTCTGTCTGTGGACTCGAAACGGAAATTCCGTGGCCATTCAGAAATGTATCACAACCTCTGAATACTGTGAAATTGGTTATACTTCTGCGTTTTATCTGGTGAGAGGTAACCGGAGCCCACTTTATTAAAAATGCATCTAAAACACTACGGGTGTTGTAAATGTCCTTGGACAGCAGATATCCCTTAACATCAGGTGAACTACCAGTCTACCAGCTTGCTTGCCACTTTACATATAAAACATGCAAAAGGATAAGCCGTTTGGTTGAATAGTGAACATTGTTTGCACTTTTTACCTAAAGTCCATCAATTACGTTGTAAGCCACGTTTCAGTTCACGTTTGGTCATCGAGCAAACCACGCGTTCTAAAAATAACATAACTAATTATCATATCTCATAAATATCATATTATTTAAGTGTATCATTTTAACTATATCATCTTTGTAATAAATGTTTTAATAAATTCTATAATCATTTATATCATCATAGATTAGAAGTCAGCCCCAACATAAGCGATAACACACGATTGCCACATGTCGGTGCTCTGCCCTACAGTAAAGCCAAGGCGGTGGTACCTTTGAGCTGGCTGAGCAGGCTCTCCCAGTAGCCGACGTCGACGCCGTCGTGGCGGCCGCTGATCTTCTGCTCGATCTGCGTCTGCAGCTCCTCCAGCTGAGCGCCAGTCTTGCCCTTGAAGATCTGGAACCAAAACCATGTTTCAATGCATGCATAACGCATTATTAGTACAATGGCATGAATAACAATAATAATCCATTAATATTCGATTTCATTGTACAATATTATTTGTTTGTACCAGGATACTTTTGTAAAAAGTTTATATTTAGTTTTTCCGGTAAGGTAGAGGTTTTGTTATTAGCCTCTCTTTCAATTGAAGTAATATGCTATTCATTGGACAGAGACGGGTGCAGGACGGCCCCTGCCCAGCAGTGAGTGGGAGTGGGAGTGGGAGTGGGCGTGGGCGTGGGCGCACCTGCGTGACGTCGTCGGCCACGGCGCGGTGCACGCCGTCGCGGCGCGCGCCCGGCGCGCTGAGCCGCCGCAGCTTGGCCAGCTCGTCCAGCACGATGGTCTGCACGTCGCGCCAGTACGGCTGGTTGGCCTCGCTCTCCAGCTCCTTGTACACCTGCGAACCGCCGCGTTATCTCTGCGCCTCTCATCACGATCCGCCACTCCCCGAATGATCGACGACGGATTGTCACCTTGATGTCCTCGAGCAGGTCTTCCAGGTCCTGCATCTGCAGGCCGTTCAGGTAGGTGTACGGTTCGTGCATTTCCAGCGCGTCCACGCACTCCTCCGAGCTCACGTACCAAGCCAGAAGATCGATCGGCTTCGCTGTGATGATAAAAACTATTAATAATAACTAATACAACGGCACCATCCTTGCTCAATACAGATAAATTGCCACCCTCTTTTTCTGTTAGGATGAACAGTCGATAAGTTGAAGGTACGCACCCCTGCCGTCGCGGATGCGTATCTGCGAGCGCAGACGCGCCTGCTGCAGGTGGAAGGCGTCCTCGTGGCGCGCCCAGCTGGAGAACTGCGCCGCCTCGCGCGCGCGCGCCGCCGCCGCCGCCTCGTCCTCGCGCGCCGCGCGCTCCGCCTCCCGCTCCAGCCGCCGCTGCTTCACCTGCGCCCACACCCGCGCCCTTATCTCGCCGCTCACCGCTCACCGCTCACCGCTCACCGCGCGCCCACCTTCTCCAGCTCGATTTTGTTCTCCAGCTGCTTCTGCCTGTTCAGCGCCTCCAGCTCCTCCCGCGACACGCTCTTCACGCCCTCTTTTGCGAGCTTCTTTGTCCACACGAACGTGTGCGTCAGTGCCGAGTCTCCGAACGGATTGTCCTGATTGGTGTAGCATTGGTATTCCGTGTCCCAGCCCATTCTCTCGCGGCGTTTACGCTCCTTTTCTTGCTTCTCCCTCAGGCGACGAGCTCTAAAAAAGTAACACATTCAATTACTATCTTACTTCTTACTGATATTATAAATAATATGTGAAACTTTGTATGTATGGATGGATGTTTGTTATTCTTTCCCAAAAACTACTCAATAGATTTTAATTAAACTTTACAATAATATAGCTGGTACATCAGAATAACACATAGGCTATAATTTATAACAATATTGTGTGAACTGTCCAAAATATAGGTAATGATAATTGTCAACTAAGTAGGAAAAAATTCAGCCATCTGTGAGATATTCTGGTGTAAAATAAAAAACTCTGTGCGAAGCCGGGCTAACAGCTAGTAGATTACATAATACGGGCTAAGTGTGAGACGGAGGTAACGGGTAAGTGTGGGCACGAAGGGTTCCTGTATCTGTAAGGGTATCTGTAATAAACTAATTGTTCAGTATCTATATGTTGCCTCATGTTTGATGTAAGAGAGCCTTAAATATCATTAATTTTTTTCTATTTTTTATTATTTGTTGTTATAGCGGCAAAAAAGAAATACATTGTCTGTTAAAATTTCAACTGTATAACTATCACGCTTCATGAGATACAGCCTGGTGACAGACTGACAGTCAGACAGACATACAGTTTTAGTAATAGGGTCCCGTTCTACCCTTTGGGTACGGATCTCTGAATGTGCAAAGCCTAGTGAGCTTCAGTTTATTAATTAAAGTATTTAAAAAATTAAGTAAATTAGCCAATAGAAATTAACCAAATGCTAACCTCTTTTCTTCTGGGGTTTCATTAGCTTTCATTAACTCCTTTTGTTTCCGTTTCTCTTCCTTCAATCTTAATCGCTCTGCTTCTAACCTCTGCAAAAGCTTTATTTCTTCTTCATCACTGTTACTGCTGCTGCTACTGCTACTATTTGAGGAGCTGCTGTGTTTCTTCTTCTTCTTTTTACTCTTCTTGTGTTTAGACAAGTCTCTTTTCTTCTTTTTATCTTTACTTGGAGATCTATGTCTGGATCTTTCTGATGATTTTGAATGGGAATATTTATCCTTACTGTTTATATGTTCCCTTCTATGAGCTGGAGATCTGCTTCTAGACCGTTCCCTGTATTTGCTAACTTCAGATTTTGATGACCTAGAAAATGAATAGGTGATAGAATAAAACCCCTACTGTTTATGTAATAGGTATGTTATTTCAAATACTCAAACTAACTAAGGGGTTCAAAGTACTAGAACATATTGTGGAAAGTGGATGGAAAGTCAACATAAAACTTTGTTATTAATTACAAACAAAATATTTTCTTTTTTTTTAAACATTAGATTACTTAATGAAATCATACATATTTTATTAAGGATTGGCTATTTTAAATTCATACATGGGATTCATGAATTAGGATTTTTTGATGATACATTATATGAAAGTCATAAATTTTTTCTCATCTATATGAGACTAAATTAATATTGACTTCAAGAATTAGGTTTTATACCTAGTTCTTTTTTAGGACAAACCCAACTGTGCAAGTGTACAATTCAGGTCAGCTTCAGAAGACAGATTACAAAGTCTTCAAGGTTGTTCTGTCTTTGGGGCTTTTAGATACAACAATATTGTACGCATTTCTAAATGTTTCTAATAGTGAACGCTTATGATACATTAAGCTACATTAAGCATGAATAGAATTAAATGCATATACCATGTTTAGCCAGAAAACAACAGACAAAATAAGTTTCATCAACTTGATTTTCGGATGTTTTTAGGCTCATTATATTGAAATCCTAGTCTTATTACAAAAAATAGCCATCACTTATTCCCCGAAATTAAATTCTGATAAATACTTCTTGACAAGTTATAAGGTAGTGACTTATGTATGTTAAAAAAAAAGAGATGAAATAGATAAATTAAAAATTATAAAATTTACCACTTTATAAAAAGCTTGAAAGGCTGTTAGGGAAAAAATGATTACAATTAATCATAATTATCTACTAATAACTTACATATTGCGTTGGTGTTTGCACAAGCACAGTAATGATTTGAGCAATAAATTTTGTAGTGTGTTTTTTAAACTTTGAAGAACTTTGTGATTGCCACAGCGGAGTCGTAAATATGCATAAACACTTATAAATTATGTATATTTCTTATTGACTATTGTACATAATATGAAATGAGAAATTATTAAATTAACTTAATTAACCAATACGGACAGACTATAAAACCATAAAACTCAAAGTTACTTGTCAATGTCATTGTCACTGTCTTATAGGGATGAGGAGTATATACTGGCACAGGTATAAATACCCAGTATGAACATACCAGTACGCACACCGGGTATGTACGGCAGAGGCCCGTTCCATACCCGATAGGTATGGCTTGGGTATGGCCGCTTCGTTCGACGGTGGCGGTATATAACGCTCGCGAGAACCCGCCGGCCGAATAGGTACGAATTTCCCCGAACGCTTACGGCGGCTCTTCCCGATCATGCCCGAATTGAAACGTATGATTTAGGCATTTTATACCAAATAATTCCTTGAGATAAATTTATTCTTTATTTCTATGACCATAAGTTAAATAAATAATTGCGTAATAAGGTTAAACAGTAATATTTATTTTAAATGACTTTTTTTTGATAATAGGATATATTTCAGACTGATTAAATCTCAATAAAAAAAAAATGTGTGCGTGTACTAGCGTACACTCGTAAGAAGTGAAACTTTTTTATGACGTTATTTTTCAAAAAATAATTTACTATATGCAACTTTACAGAAATTGGTGAAATAAAGTTAAATTAGATAAAGTTTAATAAAAGGCTTTTATTATCATAGACATAAATACAAATTCTACAATTATTTAATTTTAGCTTTGTATAATATTTAGTTCCTTATTTGTAATACATAGGTGGCGTTAGTAATAAATTAAAACACACTATGGTTTGACCGTTGTAATTAGTATGAGGGTCCGCAAAAATTGTTGATTAAAAAACTTGCAACGTGAACCTTGTTCATTTTAATTAACCTCACGGAACCAAAATGCAACCGCTTTGAATTTGTACATGGTCCTTCGTTGCCGAATAGTCAGCCAGTGAGTAGAAGGCAGACATTCGACTCGCGCGCGAGTCTTGTGAGTGAAGTTTTATTGGAAAACCGAACTTGCGGACGTTAGATCGACGTCGCAACCGCAAGTTCCAGGAGCCGATCGAGGCTTCGATGATGTCGTTATTATCTATTTGTGTTATTAGTGGCTTATGGTACTGAAATACGAAATATATTGTTTACATTTTAGAATTAGAATTAAAATAAACCCTTTGATTTTGCTGATCACTTTAATATAACATATATATATTGTTATGAAAACACAAAGGAACTAACGCCATCTAGCGTCAACTATTAAAACCACTAAGAAAAAGATGGCGCGTAACGCAAAAATGTTACACTAAATTTTTTTCCAACCCCGATAAAGAAGTTTCACTTCAAAAAAACTGATTGCAAAAAAAACATCTAAATGTTCCAATTCCAACGCAAAGATTCAATTCGTTTGAATCGACCGAGTCTCCAAAAGGAGGCCTGAACATAACTAATACCTATAGGTATTTTAAAACTGGGTTTTAGCACCGGGTATACGGCGATACCCGTACCTTTGAGGCCGGGTATAGAATGTTGCAGGTATATCCATGCCTACTGTCTTAAGTCTTTGTCAGTTGTCCGTCTCAGAGACGTTCACACTTATCACAGAGCTTTAGACGAAAATATAATATACTATATTTATCCAACATTTACAACATTTGAATATATCTAAAATTACATAATATCTAATAAACCTAATCCACGTGGCATGGTGCCAAGAATGCTAGCTGCATTTCCTCGTTGAATAGTTATGCTTAACCTTTGAGCGAGAAAGAAACCAGCTCTCTTGTCACCAGCCGCAGGATTAAGCCTAGGACATAAACCTTTCAAAAATTCGATGTACAGGGACCTCAAACTTTCAACAGAAAATGGCATAAATATATAACCTAAACATGGCGATCTAATGATGACTCCTTGGCGCAGCTGTCAGGTTATATAATATAGGCGTCAAATAAATGAAATGAAAATCTAAACATAGAGAGACTCATATTTGCGCCACTTACTTCAGCTCTACACTCCACGTAATAGAGAAAACAAGACAAAACAAACAAAACTATTTTCTCTACTCCGTGCTATATTCCATGGTTAAGTAGTACTAGATTACATAGGTCAATTTGACTCCTTCAATTCGATTCAACTCCTAGTTAATTTTGTCTGTTTTGAAACTATGTCTAAAACAGTCTTGCCTACTTAGTTTACATTTCACTTACATTCATTAAAAGACATTTTGCTTTTTATTTTAGTCACTTTAGTCAGTGAAAATTGTGATTCATGAAATATAAGTAATTCATGGCCCTAAACTTTTTTTGTAATGTAAAGAAATTAAAACTAAGTTATTATATTTACCTTAACAATACGTAAAACTCATTGAAACAATATCTTTGAATTCAATACAGAGCTTTTTTTGGGGCTTTTGAAAATTGCATTTCATGTTTCAGTCCCGAGACTATTAAAGCTTCATCTGACACAGAACCGGTGGGCTAGGCAGAACCCACGGGTTTGAGCCCTCCGCTCCGCTGTGGGTAGGGCCGCGCATGTGCTCATGCGTGCGTTTAACTATGGTATGAAATCTAAGAGCCATCGAGGTTGCGGTTCGGACCGGGACCCCGATGGCCATCGACTGTGTTTTTAACTGATCGGTGGCTGGGGGCGGTGAGAACCGCCCTGGAACGCGGGTGTACCTTGTGTACGCATTGTGTTGGTCTCGTCGTGCTCGGAGGCGAGGGCGAACTAGTGTGTTTGTTGTTACACTAGCTGTGGGTGTAGTGTTATCCAGCATGACCCCCAACGGTGGGTCCGACGTATCTAAGTCCCCTTCCTCAACCGTGTCGATGAGGACGTTTCGCAGGAGACGTTTATTGACGTTCGCGTTTGTGTCAGGTTGGTAATTTGCTGCGCTTACCACTAGAGGGTCGGGATGATATTCGGCTCTATCATCTGGTTGGGCCTTTAAAATATTCGCGAATCGTCGGGAGTCTGCAATTGTGCAGGTCAACGTTACGTTGATACCACTGCGCACCTGCGCAAAATTGCATTTAGAGTTATTTAGGGCTATTTCAACTTGATTTTAGGGCCATTTCGTTTTAATAGTTTGCAACAATGGTCTAAAATCTAAAAGTTAACTAAATAAAAAAAACCAAAATCTAAATCGATATCTAAAGATTTCAGATATATAAAAGTATACTCTTTGATCTACATTCATTTGACATTTCATATTTCATTCATTTTTACATAGGGCAACTGCTGAGTGTTTGCTAATTATTGAACTAATTAGCAAAACATTATTTCCGTCTGTTTAAATGAAAGTGAATAAATTAATAATTAAGATTAAATAAGTATTCTTTCCGTCGAAGCCACGGTAACTTAGATTTTAATTATGAAATGAGAAATTATTTCCTGGTTTATTATTTCATGATTTATAAAATAAAGGTATAGAAATTGAAAACTCAGTTTTTGTTTCAAGATGTCATTTCTTCGTGGTTCGGAAAATTATGTGTGGTGTACCACAAGCGTTCTTGGTAAGGGGGCCACTGGTGCAGTGTTTCAAGGGGTAAATAAGAATAATGGAGAACCAGTGGCCGTGAAAACTTTCAACCAACTGAGCCATATGAGACCTCACGATGTCCAAATGCGTGAATTTGAGGTTTTAAGAAAAGTCAAGCATGAAAATATTGTTAAGCTCCTCGCTATTGAAGAGGAACAAGAAGGTCGAGGGAAAGTTATAGTAATGGAACTATGCACCGGAGGTAGTCTTTTCAATATCCTAGACGATCCAGAAAACACTTACGGACTGCAAGAACATGAATTTCTCTTAGTACTAGAACATTTAACAGCTGGCATGAAACATTTGCGTGATAATAATTTAGTGCATAGAGATCTGAAACCAGGGAATATTATGAAATTCATTAATGAAGATGGAACCACAACGTACAAGCTAACTGATTTTGGTGCAGCAAGAGAGCTGCAAGAAGAGGAGCAATTCATATCTCTATATGGTACAGAAGAGTACCTTCATCCAGATATGTATGAGCGAGCAGTTTTAAAGAAGCCAGTGGGAAAGAGCTTTGGTGCTACGGTTGATCTGTGGTCTATAGGTGTTACATTGTACCATGTAGCAACTGGACAGTTGCCATTCAGACCATATGGGGGAAGAAGGAACAAAGAGACTATGTTTTTTATTACTACGAAGAAAGCATCAGGGGTCATCTCTGTAAGAGCATGTATATTATTATTTACATTTACATTTTTCACTGTGCAAGGCCTGCTGTTGCAAAAATGTGCAATCTTGTCTGGGGAAGTACCTCACAGAAGACCTACATGAGATAAAAGTATTATACTTGTGTATTTTATCTGGTGAGTGAGGTAACTGGAGGCCACTGTTTTTAAAGATTGGCAATGCAAATGCCTGTTGTTTGCCACTTTCACTCATAAAAAAAAATTGACATCTATTCATAGCACAATTATGATTAGTGTGAAAGTAGTTGGGTAGGAAGTCCTAACAACCACTGAAACCTAAAAGATCTATTGTAGTTGAAAACAACAAAAGAGAGTTCTTTTACAATCAAGCTCTGTAAATAAACATTGTTTAAAAGGATTTGAAAATGATGTATTTTATTTATTAAATATCTTCAAATATATATTTAAGGGAACGCAAACAACAGACAATGGACCAATAGAATGGTCTAGAGAGCTACCTTCACACTGCCAATTAAGTGTTGGCCTGCGAAAACTGGTCACACCGTTGTTGGCTGGCCTGCTTGAGGTTGACCCACACAGAATATGGAATTTTGAGAGGTTTTTCTCTGAAGTTCAAACAGTCACCTCCACCAAACCTGTGCATATTTTTCATGTGAACAAAGCCTCTAGTATTAAGGTGAGTGTATTGACTTGAAGGCTTCATTAAATGAATTTAAAAGCTTTGTTGGGTGAAGGTTTCAAAAAAAGGGACTAATTAATAGTGGTAACTTTTAAGTGCATTAATCTAACATTTTTATACATGTTTTCACGGCACGAGTCAGCCAAATAGTTTTGCCTATTCGGATATCGGATATCGGCGACCTAGCCGGTATTCAACGTAAGGCCGATAGAGGCGATATAATATTCCTATCATTCACTTAAACAATAATGTCATTCAAAAAGATATTAAGAAGACATACATATTTTACAGATTTCCTTTCTCCATTATTTTGTGTTTTTCTTTCTAAAATGGTCGTTAATAAATTTTGTAGGTGTTCCTGAAGCCAGAAGAGAAGTATGAGCATTTGCAGACCTACATCTGCGAGCAGACAAGCGTGGTGGCAGAGTCACAGATCCTGCTCTATGAGGACAGGCTGCTGCTTTCCGAAATCGACGAAAGCACGCTCGGTTTGTTTGAAATTCTGTTAAATTACCACTTTGTGAGCAAACTCTTCCAGTTTCCCTAACATGTTTTAAAAACATTAATTTCACATGGACACACACTCAGATGCAAAACAATCTGTGAATTACACAAATAGTTGTTCGATGTGGGGTACGAACCCGCGACCCCCGATGCTGAAGCCAATACATTGACAACAGCGCCACGGAGTCGCCGAAGTACGTCTAAAAAATCATACATTAGCTTGACGCCAATGAAATTTATGCCAATTTTAACACTACTTGAAATTCCAAATTCAAATTAAGCTTTTAATATGGCCAGGTATAACATTACTATTATCACTTTCCCTGAACTGGCTTTTTTTTAAATTCAAAACTGGCCAGCACTTGACTGCCATCCCACATGATGGTAAGTGGCGATGCAGCCGTTGATGGTAAGCGCGCTAGCTCAAAAAAACCTATTCACTCTTGCCTTGAAGACGCCTACGTTGTAATCGGACGGAAAGACGGTCGCCGGAAGTAATTTATAAATAAAGCTTACTAGTACTGCTAATCTCTGTAATCTCTGTAATCTCTTTAGTTTCATTTATGTATTTTTCTTAGTATTTTTTACTATTCTCTGCTCTTGGTCAAGGGATATTGTTAAAACTACATTTTTTAACCCACAAATTTATTGAAAGTAAACAGCGAGAGTACAATTTATTGATTACTGTCACTAACGTCCTATCTAATTTTTTCCTTTTTCTGTTATTAAAAAAAACAGGTTGTAAAGTCAATATAGTCGAATGATCGTAACCAGATAAGAAGAATTTTACATTGAACATGCCGCGGCCCAAGGACTATATGGGTCCTTTAACCGTGGAAGATACAAACATCTAAACTTTAACTTAAATAGAGTGAGAATCTACAAAATAAGACTAAAAACTATAATTTTTAACTAAGTCCCTTTTCTGCGGTTGGTCTTTTTTGTGGGTAACATTTACCATCTCCATGGAACGGAAACGATTTTCTAAAAATAATGATAAACTGGTAAATGTGGATATGTCTTGAGATGATCCAAGTGACTGTTCCCATTGTTTGTGTGTTTCTAAGTCCAATTTGGATACAACTAAATATACGACAATTGCATCCCAAGTGGAGGTATCCACGCCGAGATTGTCAAGAGAATTTAGAAATTCCTTCGTAGTATCTAAAATTTCCTTTAAGCTTTTAAAACATTCTGTGTTCATCTTCTTTTGATTTAAAAGGCGGCTAATTATTGTAGTGACAATCATACGTTTGTTATTGTATCTACTCTTAAGTGTGCTCCAAGCCTTATCGTAATTAGCCTCCGTGAGTGCAAAATGTTTTATAAGTTGTTCAGCCTCTCCCGATAAACTCGTTTTTAAATAATGATGTTTTTCAATCGTTGTTAGATGCGCGTTGTCATGCACGAGAGCCTTAAACAAATCTTTAAAACTTGTCCAGTCGTTATAATTACCGGCGAACTTTGGAATCGATAAAGGAGGTAATTTAGTTCTAATCGGGGTGGTCTCGCCATCATTTGTTGCTAAAAAACTCTGCGTAGTATTTGATTGTGGTTGACCTTGACCTTTCGAAAATTCCAACAAATAATCCTTTAATAATCCCTTAAATTCTAGGTATATGTCTTCAGTTGTCTCGTATAGACTTTCGGCATTAAATTGTAATTGCTCCAGTTCAGTTTTCGTAACCGTTGATTTAATCATCTCATATTGAGTTTGATACTTAGACCAATAACTTTCTAATGTTTCTAAGCGTGTTTGTCGATAGCCAAGTGTGTATCTTGATTTAGACGTCTTTTTAGTATTACTTTGTAGCTTAGAAATACGTTCCGATAACGTTTTTTGTGATTCACAAAGTTGAGCCATTGTTTACGTTTATGACAATTCAAGTCTAATCTTACCAACTCGCAGTAATTAGCACTTAGCCTTTTTTACTATTGTTTTTAGCACTTATTACACTTTCACAATCCGGTTCTAGAAGGACCAAACATGTTAAAACTACATTTTCTACAGGTGGTGCTCTGCCTACACGCTTTAACGGAGTGACCCTTTACAAGGCAATTAAAACAAATGCCATTCTTCTTAATAAAATCCTGACGTTGAGGAACATCTAATGCGGCGAATTCTTTACAATGACAAATATAATGGTTTTGTGAGCAATAAGTGCATTCGCTGCTTACTTCCGTGACAAATGACTTCATATTTGTAGGTTTTTGGGTTGTATAATTTTTAACTAAGTCCCTTTTCTGCGGTTAGTCTTTTTTGTGGTTAACTGATATCTTATCATTATAGATAATATAGAGAGTAATAAAATAGATAATTAATTAAAACAATCAACTAGATTTAAAATGAGACCTTACTGTAACCAGTAAGTTGGTAGATATTACAGCATATTTATTATATGTGTTATCGTGCCTTCATTTTACTGAACTCCTCTAGATACAAGGTCCAAGTTAGGGAAATCAATTTCTTTTGAAAACGACAAAATTACTGTAATTAAATAAAAATTAATTATTAATTTATTTCTCCTTGACCAAATTGTATTTTATTTTTCTCATACATTTTTAATTTCTTTTTTAAATGTGAGAAGTGGGTAAATGAGCAAACGGTTTACGAGATATTACTGGCGTTCATGGATAAATAGTAATTAATGAAGAGAAATACCTCAGGCAAGAAGTACCCGGAGACCACGGCGGAGGAGCCGCTGCTGCTGTTTAACAAGAACAACAACAACGTGAGCATGCCGCCGGAGCCCGAGGTGCCCAAGTTCCCCGTGTTCCCCAACATCGTGTCCGTGGAGAACGACGCCAGCCAGGCCAAGGTAGGCCGCTGTCGGCGAGGGGGCGGCGCCCTAGCCTCCCGGCGACTGACCGCGCGCGCTCCGCAGACGGCGTGCAGCGTGGGCCACGCGGTGCGGCGCCGCGTCGAGGCGCTGTGCGCGGCCGCCGTGCTCTGCTCGCGCTGCGTGGCGCGCTGGGGGGCGCTGCTGGCGGCGCGGCTGCGGCGCGTGGACGCGCGCGCCGCCGCCGCCGCCGCCGGCCGCGCACAGCCTGGCGCAGGCGGCGCGCGCGCTGCGCCTGGCGGGGCAGCCGCTGCCCGCCGGCGGCGCGGCGCCGCTCTGCGCCGAGGCGGAGCGGCTGCGCGCCGCGGCGGCCGCGCTGCTGGCGCGCCACTCGCCGGCCGCGCTGCGCGCCGAGTGGGACGCGGCGGCCGCGCTCTCGGGCTGCCCCAGCGAGCTGCGGCTGCACCTCAAGGCCAAGACGCTGGTGGAGCGGCTGCGCGACTCGTGGCAGCACCTGGTGCGCGACCGCGCCACGCGCTCGCTCACCTACAACGACGAGCAGTTCCACGTGCTCGAGCGCATCACCGTGGCCGAGACGGGCCGCCGCGTCAGGGCGCTGCTGCAGCTCGCCGTGCCGCTGGCGCGCGCGCGCGCGGACGCCATCGCCGACTGGTGGGCGCAGCCTCCGCCTCCCCTCCCCACCTCGCCCCTCTCGCCCCTCTCGCCCCTCTCGGCCCGCCGCTCTGACGCCGCGCCGCCCCGTTGCAGGTACAAGGTGGCGCAGACGGTGTACCTGCAGACGCAGATCCTGGACAAGGACGTGTCGAGCATGGAGCTCAAGCTGCTGGCGCTCAGCGCTCGGCTGCAGGACGCCGAGCAGAAGGCCAAAGCCGCCATCGGGGACGCGCATCAGTCGGTTAGTATCAATATAAATATATATATTTTTCGTGATATAAGTTTCATGAAAATGTGCATTGTTTCAGTCGAGTAGCAAGAACGAAACGACCGAAAAGGAGAGGGAGAGAGATCGAGAGAGGGAGAAGGAGGAGCGCAGCAAGCCGCCGGGAGGCGTGACGGCGGGGGGCGCCGGGGTGCGGGCGTTGCTGGCGGCGCAGGAGGAGCTGGCGGCCAGCGTGGCCGGCAACTCGGCGCTGGTGGCGCGCCTGGCCCAGCTCGCGCACCAGCTGCGGCCCTAGCGCCGCCGCCGCCGGGGTGCCGCCGCGCAGCGTGCACTCGACGAGTCGGACAATGTGTTCTGTGCACGGAAGGAAGTGGACAGTGTAGTGGGAACCGTCGTTACTTCGTCCTTTGAAATCGAACACTACAATGACTCAGCTTCGGACGACTCCAGTATTGACCTAAATAGTATTGTCTTAAAATTGGCTGACATTGAAAACTATAATATTGGTGCAAAGTCAATCCCACTTAACAGTGACACGGTAGATGATGATAAGTTCACAACCATCACACTTAAATGTAATAGCGAGTATGACAGTGATGGAAATAAAATAGAATCCACCAACAGCAACAAAAATCAAGAAAATAAACTCATTAATTGTAGCCACTTGAACACTGAACCAGAGAATGATTTTCCCTTAACACAGAACAGAGAAGAAATAAAACAAGTTGAAGCAGTAGAAGAAGTATTAAATTCCACCAATATTGCACATGTTAATAAAATGGTTGCTGTCACTACTAGCAATGAGTATGAAACAAATACTTACATAAACAGGCAAGAAGATAATGACAATGTACATTTGCATCACAACTGTTCCACCAAAGTCATCCCAAAAAATGATTCTAACATGATTAACATTGTCAATAGAAGTATTAAACGTAATGTTGCATCAGTTGGTGTGTGCACAAGCAATAGCAATATGTGCGAAGACATTGGTACCATTCAGAATCCCCATTCAGCAAGCAATGGAGCTGATAGTTCCTCACCTAGCGATGACAGCAGTCCCAGTGTGACTGACAGCAGTGTCAATTCCCTATTGAATAAACTGCAATATGGATTGAAACATGACATGGAGAGTTCAGAAACCGACAGTTCTACGACAAGCTCAGATGAAGAGATGACTTCGTTAGATTCAGGTGTAAGAACAGTCATCTATGAGTCGGCCGGGTCAAAACAATTTGACTCTGCCCAAAGTGAACCTAATGCAGAATTAAATCGAAATGGTAATGGGAAAGCAACCACCAAGTCTTCTTGTATATTGATCTGACATATTCCAATAGAATTTATGGACTTTATTCAAAATTCCTTAATTTTATCACATATTGGACCGTTCCAAAATTATACTTGTAGCTGCCTTTTAATATAACATATATGTATTTGTATTGAGTAGCATACTTATCGTCTGTTGAAATTATTACATTATTTACCAATGTGACAATCACAGGAATATTATTTAAAAGACTGCAAATTTGCATTCCTTTATTTATGCACTATGGTGATGGAATATGCAAATTATTAATATGAGTTGTTCCTGCAATATTTAATCATTAAGTTAGAAAATAATGTAATTTCAATACTTGTTTAGTTATGTATCAAAGGTGCTCTTTCCATTAGTTAATCTGTAAATATACATATTAATGCTGCAATCTATGAAAAAATATTAAATAGCTGTAAATATTGTTTGAAATTTTATTATTGACCTATTGATTCAATATTCCATACATTTTCCGTCATTGATGAATACAATATACCGAGAGAGCGGCTTTCATGAGTCCGCGGGTCGTTTATCTGCGGACTCTCCGTGCGGATCCAAACTACACTTACATAAAAAAAAAAACAAGTGTACTTGTATATGCACGTAACAACTTATACTTCACTAGTGTAACATAATAGAAATATTATTTTTCTTTTTGAAGTTATACTTCTTTAGGTGCGTTATGAAAAAATTATGAGAGTGAAATTTTAAGATGTAACACAAAAGTCACACCTTGGAAGCTGCCCGCAATTTTTTTATAGTTGACAGCATATTCTCAATCACATTCACCTGTTACAGTTCTCAATAAAGAATGAAGATGGCACTTCCATAATTTTATTATTTATATCCTTTTCCAGTCTTTTTATTATTTTATTGCAATTAAAAATTATTTACTAATGATGCCAAAGAAGTTTAACTTCTCACGAGCACACTTAGAACAAGTACACTCAACAATTTTTTTTTTATTTTAGCAATGTGACAGGAAAAAAATGCATAAAATGCTATTGATTACAGTTTAATTACATTTTTTTGGAATTATAAGTAAGGTTAAAGTTGTTATTGGTTGCCATGGTAATATCATGAAGTTGGTGTCGCGCATTGTAGAAACTCCACTCTCGTCTTTTTTCCCAAACGCGCCAAAAGAAGATTAACTTCAAAAAGTCAATGTGAATGCTAAAATTACACTTGGATGACATTAAGAGGGGGGGGGCGAGTGATAAGAGTGCGCATATCGGAATGTAAAATAATTTATTGGACAATTATCACAAAAATACATAATAACATTTTATTTATAGATAACGCGTATGCCTAAAGCTATCGTCGGCGGATGTGGGCTAGGAGTAGAGCTTGGCGCGGGGCCGGTCCAGCATCTTGTACTGGCGGTGGGCTTCCTGCACGCGCTGGAAGTGGCGCAGCAGCGGCTCGAGGCGGGCGTCGCCGGGGGCGGGGTCCGCGGGGGGCGCGGGGGGCGTGGGGGGGGGGCGCGGGGGCGCAGTGCAGCCGGTGGCGCAGCGCGTGGAACGCGTCGCTCTGCGGCAGCAGCATCAGCAGCCCGAACAGCGCGCTGCGCAGCGCCCCGCTCTGCGCCCCGCCCAGCAGCTCCAGCCGCAGGTCTGCACCGACAACGACCGCCACCCTCTTATCATCTTTTCTTTGGTACAAACACGTTGTCGCTTACATTATGCTGTGTTGTGAGGACGTTTTACATACATAAACTTCACGCGGACAAACACCCAGATGCGAAACAATTATTAGCGGCTCACACAAATACTTGTCCCGATGGTGTGGGTGTCGAAGCCCATCATGGCTGCTGTCGTGGGCGGGTTTACTCACATGCGAATATCGGCGACTCGATGAGCTGCACCAGCTTGTCCACCTCAGTCAGGAAGTCCACCGTGATCTCCAAATCGCCACTGTCGGCTCGTTAAGGCGCATCAATGTACACAAAATAATAATCAGTCGCAATATTCACCATGTTATATGGCCCTGGCATATGAGTAGCCCATAAAATGGACCCCGGCTACCTTGTTTACTAGACTTCAACTTCACGCAAGTCAAGAGAATTCGGCAAGATCCTAGAATTTCCCCGCACAGATCTGCCCATTCATGCAACAGCAAAGACTGTTCTGTGGCCCTACCACAGTAAATTTATGTAATTATTTCATAAATTGCACTAAAAAAAATTAGCAACATTTATGTGTCAACTTTAATTGAAAAAGTTATTGAAATATTATTAAGCAGCTACTAAATAATTAATATGAAAATGTTGAAATAAAAAATATTAAAATGATGAATAATAAAGTTCTAAGATGCACAAAGGAGTAGGTACAAAGGATACAAAGTGGTGATGAGGCGGTTGCAGTGCTCGTAGTGGTGGGTGAGCAGGCACAGCGCCAGCAGCGAGACGGGGCTGTGGCACCAGCAGCGGTACAGGCTCTCGAACAGCTCCGCCGTGCCCTGCCGAGGAACGACCGCCGCTGAGTCTGGCGCCCACCGCAGGGCGGACGGCGCACCGCCACTCACCGGCTTCTCCATGTTCCTCAGCTGCAGCCGCAGGTGGTACAGCTCGGCGGCCGTGAGCAGGATGGTGCTGAGCAAGTCCACCATGGTCGCCGCGAAGCGCAGGTTCCTCTCCTCCAGCAGGATCTTCGACAGCGCCCTGTATATGTCCTCCGCGTTCAGCAGCACGCACAGCTGCCTGCGCGGTTTAACAACAATAAAAAAGATAAGGATAAAAAGCATCCGTCTAAGATGATCTTTCAAAGCTTACTCTCCCGTGATGAAGAAGTATCCTAGCAATAGAATAGTCCGACATAGAACCTATTCCTTTCTACTCTAGCATGTTGCAGAATTCTACCCAAGAAGCGGGGCGCTACTAATCTCCCCCGTTGTCCACTTTCTCCGAAGACGCTCACCGTATGATAAAGGAGCCCCTGTCCTCCAAGAGGTTCTCGTCGGCCGCCAGCAGCCGGAGCAGGGCCTGCAGGAACTTGCAGTAGTAGGGGCTGGACTCCAGGCTGGCCGCGCCGGGGCAGGAGCAGATCTCGGCCAGCACGGCCAGCGCGCGGCGCACCACCTCGTCGGCGGGGTCGGTGAGGCTGCCCACCACGCTGGCGAACACGCCCTCCGTCTGCGCGAACATCTGCCCACGACAAGGCCATTGCGGATGCCATCTTTCAACAAAATGTGACCACGACCTCACAGAAGACCGGCGTCTAGTGGAAGTTTATCTAGCGGTTGAGGTAGCTGGGGCCCACTTTATTAAAAAGTGGCCGACGCATCTGCAACCCTGCGGGTGATGCAGAAGTCAATACGCGGCGGTTGTCTCCAAGCATGAGGTGAACCGCAAGCTCGTTTGTCGTCTTCTCCATAAAAAACAACATATCTGTTACTCATTCAAGATGTGAACGTTAAAAGAAGTTAAAGTAAATAAGGCCTCTAATATCTATGCGACTTTATTACTAGAACATACCTCATTTGGCAGTTTGTTGTAGAGGTGCAGGATCCAGTCCAGAACCGCCACTTTGGTGTGAACGGAGCTGTGGTGCAGCATCTGGGTGAGCACTCTGACCACGGCGTCCAAGTTCAGCTTCCCCTCCAGGTCCATGGGCACGTCCTCCTCCAGCTCGTCGGCCTCCGTCGTCTTTTCTACATCAGAGGCAGGCGTGGTCTCGGGGGAGCTGGGCACTATGAGCTTCGTCAGTTGGAAGTTGACCGTTGCCGCTGTCTCTCTAATGTCTGCACTTCGCAGCTAAGGCTTGCTACTTATCGTTTTCGACTTATTAATTAGATAGAAGTTTATTAAAATCAACAAGAACACAATAATTATAATAGTAAATAAAAAATACATAAAAAATATAAAATTCCTTATTAACTCAACCAGAAACCTGCTGCAAAACATTTAAGCTCTAATAGAACTTGTAAGTTATAAATGTGGGGTTATGTCACAAAGGATACTTTTCCTGGCTTCATCCGAGTAGGCCAAACATGGCAGAACGGCGCACAAAATACCCGAAGCATAAGGCAACATACTAGGCCCAGCCAACTCCACAAATTCTTTGATCCATGTTATTGCTGTTAACTGATAAAAAACTCATGTATTACTTATTTTATTTCTTAGTAAAAATTAACAACATATTGAATTGTATTGACCAACCTGTACCAGTTCCTCTGTGGACTGAGCATGTGTTATTAGTATGTTGATCATTGCTTGAAAATCAACTTGTGAGGGGTCCTTCTTAATGCTTCTTAAAAATTCGTTCAGTTGCACTTCACACCTTAAATTGAAATAATTCGGTAAATTTAATTTATGTTTTATTTAATTTACTGAACATAAGTATAAAACCACCGAGTTGGTAGCAATACAGTATAGTATGGTCAGTAGTAAGTACTAAGAGAGCTTAGCGGAAAACATATGGACTTTTAACTCTCTCTTTTAATCTACTGTGCAATTAAATTGATTTATTGTTTGATATTTGCTATTTGCTTGGAATGAAGAAGAAGAGGTGCCATCAACAGCCTTTGCAGCAATGGGCCGATCTGTCCGGGTGCAGAGTGGAGGTGGGGATGGGGGTGGGTTTGTTTCCGTACATGCGCCTGATCTCCGGGTGCGGCTCGTCCAGCATGTGCAGCATGGGGTCGAGCAGGTCGCGCAGGTGCGGCAGCAGCGGCAGCGCGGGCAGCGCGTCTAGCGCCGACACCCAGCCGGCCGCGAACTGGCGGGCGCACGCCCCGCGCGCGTACAGCCGCTCGCGCAGCAGCGGCACGAACGCCGCCGCCTCGAACGACCCGCTCTCCGTCACGATGTCCTGCGCCACCGGACAGTAGAGAGGGCTAGGCCAGCATTGACAATAGTGTTAGCAAGTGATAGCACTTTGACCTGAGCCATTCTGCAGTACAATACTGATACATTTAGGGCCGTGCACAATCAATGTAAGCGGCAACATTTATAATAAATGAGTAGGCATCAGTCCTCCCTGTTTGGATCTAACGAAGCAAGAACCCATTCCTCTAATGGGAACAACTCCCACCAACACAATTTGCTGTAAAGTTGCAACAGTCCGCACCTTGACCAGACGGTCCAGGAGCTCCGCACCCTGGCGCACCTGCGGCTCCGGGTCTGCAGCGAGCCGCGCCAGCGCGTCGAACAGCAGCGGGAAGTGCGCCAGCGCCGCGCCCCGCGCTATCTTCAGCACGTTGAAGAGCGCCTCGGCGGCCAGGTAGCGGACGCGCGACTCGCCCTCGCTCACGCACGCCACTATCGGGTGGAGCAGCTCGCTCAGGTACACTGAGCAGCCCTACCGCACAATCGCTCCATTACACTAGCTTAGTGTAACACTAATGTTATCAGTACACTAATCGGCCCATGAATGAACAGTGTAATAGAAGTGTGTTTCTATTCGAGTGAATCCAAAATACATTAACTGTCACTTTACAAGTGACATATATATAAAGTTGTTTTACAAGTTTTATTCCCTGAAAATAATACAGTAGAATCTGTTTATATTGCTTTGGTAACATTGAAGGAAAATTATATTTTGGTCATAAAGCGTATGTCATAGAACATAGTGTTTAACTTCAAAGTAAAATATCCTAGATACATATTTAAAGTATTATATGGAAAGAAAAATAAAGTTATAAAGAATACATGGGACCCCTGGTTGGTATTCCCTTGTTTCAATGACACCAAATTTACGTGCCAGTACCTTTCACACTACACCTTTTTTAACTGACTGATATTTCCACTTTGTCCTTTAGTGATAGGACAGCATGTTTTCGTTTTGCACTCATTTTGGTTATTTGCTTATCATATAACCGTTCAAAACAGCCATCCACACAATAAGAAAGGGAGGGACTCACTGACAGTAATTAAATGTTATTGATTTGTAAACATATTGTAGTGTCTTGTCTCTAGCTTACCATAGCAGTAGAAATATAACTGGCCTTTTAACCATAGCAGTAGAAATATAACTGGACTCCAGGGAATACCAACTTTTACAATAAAACAAAACAAAAATTACTTGGTTTTAATTTTTTATATTACGGTTATGACCAATTCGGATAATTAGCGATTTGATTAATTGGTATTAGAATAATTGGTGTTCTACTGTAACTCTCCTAGGAGTTTGTATGAAAACCAAACTACTATAGTTAAAACATAATAAATGAATGATTATTATAATAATATTAAACAAATTCAACCATAACTGTATCTTTGAGGGAATATAAACAATTAAATAAATTAAATGGATTTCTCATGTTAAGACTGTCTTATGAATTGTTTTACCTTGCCCAATCCCACAGCAACAGAAGACAAACCCATCAGAGCTCCATTTTTCACATTAGGATTTGTGGATGACATCAAATCTTGGCCCAAGACCCTTATTAATTTCTTTATTTGACTTGTGTTATTTGCATCATTAAAGTCTTTAACCATTCTGAAATATAAATTCATAACATACAAAACTCACCAATATAATGAATCCATAAAATTTAATAATTTGTTTAGACCTTTAAATTTATTTGCAATAATCAAGATCAATACAAATTTAATATTTTGGTAGACTAATTTGTACATAACACACGCTGGTGGCGAAGGATGATATTAATAATCAAAACGATAAGTATAAAAAAGACATATGATCGCAGTTACCATAACATTCGAATTTTATATTTAGAAAAAGATAGTAATTACTCACTTCTCTATTTCAACACCAGCAAATTTCCGTTTTTCGTACAATTTATCACATAGCCCACGAACGCATGCTGTACTCAAAGGTGCATAGTCTCTTTCAGACATATTTATATATTTTCATAAATATATTATACTTTGTAAATAATTGAACTGCCCCTAAATAATAAGATAAGGTTTTTATATTTTTATTTTTTTAATTTAACCAATCAACTAGACGTCAGATTAAATGTCAAGTAAGGATGTGCTGATGAGATCCAATAATTAGCATCTAGATCCATTTCTAGAAAATCGATTTACCATACACCGCCGCTTACTATACGTTTAGACACATATCATTGAAAGAGAAAGAGAAGAAAATAAAACACAAGAAAGATATAGTGTGGTGAGTGAGAAAGAGAGTGATACGTCACTCGTTTCAAAAGTTCACTCATACAATACAAAGTGATAGAATAATATAGTAGTTAGATATGAAAATGTTTTAGACGCTATACTTGATAAGTGACAAGCGATTTGGTACTAAGATTAAAATTCAATTCTAATAGCTTTTTTCATTACAGAAGCATTACACTTACTTGATTTTTAAAATGTTACTACCGGTTCGAACTTATAGATTTACGATATTTGTTAATGTTTAGAGGATAATACTCGATTAATTTTCTTAAGTTTTGTATTTTCCTTCAGAATAGAAAGTAACATTAAACATTCAATATTTTATTAATATTTTGTTTTAAATTGTATATACACTTACACGTTTTGATGAGATCTAACATGGTTCTAACCACAGAGTACTTTTAAATATATATTATATATATACGATAACTCCGTGGCGCAGTTGCCAAGGCTTCGGCGTCAGGGGTCATGGGTTCCCACACGGGACAACTACTTGTGCGACCCACAGATCTGCATCTGCATCTGGGTGTTTGTCCACGTGAAGTTTATGTTTGTAAAACGTCCTTACAACTCAGGATAATTGTTATCCTAAAGTGAGGGCAACAAATTCAATAAATAAAGAAAATATAACATATTTACCCTATATAGCTAGCACCAACACAAGAAAATGCCTTATAGCATTAAGCCTGCCGTTTGTACTAATAACCAGTTAGTACAATAAATATACCTGAAAATTGATTCGTATTTGTACCTCTATTTTTTTCCAAGTTAATTATGATTATTTGATTAATTTTTTGAAGTGGAATTTAAAGATGCACGCGCATCACTGTAAGATCTTGTAACTGTCAAATCTTTGAAGCTGCTCCCTAAACCACTTATATTTTTATAGATGGCAGTATATTCTGAATCACATTGCCTGTTACAGTTTTCAATAAAGAATGTAGATGGCGCTTTCATAATTTTATTATTTATATCCTTTTCCAGTCTTTTTATTAACTTATTGTAATTAATTATTTGCAAGCAATTAAAAACTATTTTTTAATGATGCCAAAGAACTGTAACTTCTCACGCGCGTACATAAGTACACGCACCCATTTTTTTTGGCAGGTTGTACCACTGTTGGCCTTATGGGCCTTTACAAATCCGCCGGACTTGAGGTGGCCAGGTGCCTAGCCTGAATCTCAGGCGTACCTCTATCAGAGAGGGATCCTTATATCGTGTCGTGCGCCCCCTTGATGCTAACTAGAAAATAAAAAACCATATGCTACATCTATTAAGAATCGATACATTTTGAAAAGAATCGATATTATAGTGTAAGTAATCTGTATCTGTATCGACTATGGCATAGGGATGCCGAAAATCGGAAAAAATATCGATATATCGATATTTATAAGAATATCAATATCGGTCTCGATATATTGAAAAAAAATATCGATATATTGGTCAAATTTTCAGTTTTAAAAAATAATGTATTCATTCTGATTCAATAATAAGTAATAGTAATTTTTATACCAAATTCACATTGCTTAAATGAATGAGAAATTTTAATAAAATGTTAATTATTTATTAATTTTAATCAAATTTTTTTTATTTATAAAAATTTCTAGGCATGTTATTTTTCAAGACCTTCATTGGAAAAAAAACAAACAGCTTGTCTAGTAACATAAATCAGTTTCATTAGCCCTGAATCGAATCAAAAATGACTAATTAAAAAAAATTTAACTTTGTAAAAAACATAAAGAATTGTTTAAAACGAAGTTAATAATTGGTCAATAAGAAACCCGCAGATACTTGTCCTAAAAGATAGTTTTAGATCAACAGAATTTAGTAATAGTTGTTTGATTGACATGAAAATGCTGAACGACAATATAACAATGTTACTTATGTGATTAAATGATAATAATTTTAGTCGTGAAATATTTTTTCTATGAAAACTCGATATTACATTATGTGACATTTAAGTATTGAGAATTTGATTATAATTAAATTTTTGTTAACTTTATTTACATATTAAATTAAAGTAACTTTAGCTGATGCCATTAGTATTTTGCATGATATTTATAAATTAACATAATATGTAGTTCAATATTAATGATTTGTAACACCTCTATACCATGTTGTACCTAAGATATGGACAGTATAAATTACGAGGAATCAAATTGTAGTATAAATACCATAATTATAGTACAAAATGATACTCTGCATCCGCGACAATACTAGTAATAGACTACACTTGTTTCCGCTCATTTTTATCTTTACGGCTTTGAATCAGTTTGAATAAAAATATCGTTTTTTGATACGATTTCGATATTTATTTTTTTATACCGATATATCGGATCAAAATATATCGGCCAAAAATATCGATATTTTTTGGCATCTCTACTAAAGCACATCACGAGTAACAACTGACCTGACTATATTATTGAATGTGATACTAGGTATAAAATAAATTGACTCTTGTTGCAGTGATGTGATTAGTATATTTAGTAGTACACGTTCACGCGCTGCGGATACTGTCGTATAACGTATAAATTTATCGAATCAATGCGCTGATGTGTTGATGCGGTTTTTCTTGTTATTGTGTCCAGTTTGTTTAAAATATTACACTGATTGAGTTGCATACCAAATGTTATTAAGTTTAAATCTGCGGTGGCAGTCTGCTGATTGTTTATTGTGTTTGTGTTAGTCTATAAAGAACTTTCAAGATGCCTGTGACTCTGGTAGACAGGTTGCCCTTGCCAAATCTCAAGGTTTATACGGCTGGCAGTGTGTTGCTACTTTCGGTTGCTGTGTATTACGCAGTCAGTGTAACTAATGACCCCAACTGGCGAACGAATACTACATTGCAGCGGTCAGAAGCTATTGCAGCTGCTACCGATGGAGAGAATGCCAAGTCTCAACCGGCGGCGCTGGCGCCGCTGGAGGCCATGAATGATACCAGAAACATGACAGAACAGATTGTAGAAGTTATGACTTTCATGATGCAGGAGCCACTGTGTATGTGGGTGAGTATTCATATAATAACATGGTACCTATTACTATTTGCCCAAATTATTTTTCAAAACAAAGCAGAGGCTTATGGTCGTCTAGGTGACAATAAAACTGATTTTTATTTCTTAGGTGTTCTATTAGGTGTACATACATAATTTTTAAATTGATTAAACATCTGCATATATAGTATTAAATAAATCAATATCCATTTTCGTTAGTTTTGATAATACATATAGTATTAACAAAAATAATCTATGAATTCACTTTCTTTTAATGAACAAAGAATTTTGCAAAAGTTGCAACTATCTATCACTATAGTATAGCATGTAGCAAATATTAAGTAAATATATATTAAGAATTATTTTATGATATAGAATATTAAATTTTTGTATCTAGAACATGGTTAACAAATATCTGCTACGGTATGGAATTGATTTTTTCTAGCCCACTTTGATTAACAATATCCATCCATGATAAAAAAAAATTATAAATGTGTTTAAAAGAAAAAAGTGATGCTCTGTTAATGACCACCAACTTTTTTATTCATCCCCATGTATGGAAAATCAACAGTCCTTAGAGAACATTATTGTAGATTCTAGTATGTAATAAATATTATAAATATAATATATAATTTATGTAACAATACTTTGACTATTAGTATTTACATTTGACAGTGTGGTGTGAAATGAGTGAGATTTACAATTTTTGAATAATTATGTTTATATTTCATTTTTTTTAGATTATATTTAAAATAAATATGTCATCATAACCCTTGTACTTACCGACTAGTTTTAATGTGTAAGTTCTTATCTTCAAATGCTTGTTATTGCCTTTGTGGTTAGAAATTATTTTGTGATTGTGACATAAGGTTTTAACAGGAAATACAAGAAAATGTATAGCAATTACTCATCTTGTTTATGCCATGTTTTGATCTTTACATCTTGTAAGGATATTTGATGGATGGTTAAAAGTTCACAGACAGCACCTATGTACATAAAAGTTAAGTAACAGCCTATACATGTTCCACTGCTGGGTAAATAGCCATGGGTCTTTTCAGAGTAGGACATAGTCCACCACGCGAACCCGCTGTGGATTGGCGGACTTCACATATTTTCGAAGTATTTTTTTTTTATTATTTCGAAAATATGCAGGTTTTTCTAACGATGTTTTCCTCGACCGCTGAGCATGTGATAAGTCTGCACTTAAAATTAATAATTTCATTGGTGCCAGCACCGGGGTATCGAAATTAAGTTGTTCGCGTATGTTGAATTAAAAGCGAGCATCTGGACATCAGCTGTCCCGGCTATGTATACCACTGAAAACACGAAAGTATTTAAAAAGTAACAACATTCAATGTCTAAGGTTAGATTTGGTAAGATTCATAATGTTGTTTTATTTTTTATTAATTATAATCAATTTGTACTTTGTAGATGTAGATGGCGCAGTTGCTATACTACTTCTGCCGGAAGTCGCGTGTTCGATTCCCACATGGGTGTAGTATTTGTGTGACCCATGGATGATTATTGTCGTTAGCCAGTCGGCCAGTCGTAAAAAATATTCCCAGTCCCTTTGATAATATTATTAATACCTTTAGTTTAATAAGATTATTAGTAGCTTCGATATTGTTATATCATGCGACCCAACCCCAGTGGGATGTGGGAGTGTTTCTGTGTTGTTTGAGGGTAGGGAGTGGAGTGTTTCTCCTACCATTGTCCCTCAATACTTTGTAGATGACTGTAATGCCTTCAGCCTAATTCGTCATTCATTTCGATTTATTGACGGTTTTATCGAATGTTATATTATCGTCATTTTCATATTACACACGACATTCGATATTTCAGGAACCAAGTATTGTTTCAAATATTTTTTCTCTGGCTTACTTAAAATCCATCTAATAGACTACAGTGTTATTTACGTTAAAACTGGATGTCTAAAGTGATAATATATCAAAAATTAGGTAGGGAATTATGTCGTAACACTATCGAGCGGTGGCAGCTCAGTGTCCGAGCGCTCCCCTTTTGTTCGTATACTCAAGCGACCCAAGCTGAAATCTCTGTGCTGGCACAGAAGAATTTGTCTATTACAATTTCAAGTGCTTAAAGAAAAATTTAATTACTAAACTGTGTAAAAATCTACCATTAAGCATTGGGGTCGCGAAGCGGACTATATCTAGACGCCCCAGAGGAGGTCTTTGCCCAGCCGTGGACTTCACTTTATCTTAAGCATCTGGGAGGAGCGCATATCAGCTGTGGTATTACGAACGTTATCGGACTTCTGGTACACAGAGAAAGTGGACGATAAGGAACCGGTTACATTTAATAGTTTTACTCTCGTAAGCAGCGCAACACAGTACAATGAATAATGTTTTTTTAATCATTTTTGATTTACGTTTCAATTACTGGCGGTTTTAAATGATTGTTCCTATCGATAACGTTCGGGGGTCGATTGTTTATGCAACTCTGGTAACTCTTTTTGAGAAGGCGGCTAACGAGCTGGAAGTTCACCTGATGTTAACTGTTAACCGCAGTCTATTGTCATTTGCATTGGCCGTAGGGTTGCAGATGCGTTGCATTATTATAAAATGGGTCACGACTACCTTCCTCAACAGACGAAGCGCAGAAGTATAACACTTCCACCTCACGCCGCTCTTCTGTGAGGTCGTGGTACTTACCCAGCGCACCTGCCCATTCGTGCAACAGCGAAGACTGTTGCGTGATTCTTTTTATTTTATCCGATGCTGCTACAGAAACTACGCGCTAGTCCGTCCCCACATCGAGGACTAGGCAGGGCTGCATTTTGGGCTGATTTTTAAAAATCCACAGTGCTGGGATTATTTTTTTAACTGCCATTTCCTGGCAATTGCAATATCTCGTAAATTAAAAAAAATCATTTTCGCTTTCCATTTTTTGGAAGGACAGACACACAAAGAAAATATCTTTTATTTTTGGCCATAAAATTGGCGGACGAGCGCAAAAAAAACTCAATAAAGTTTAATCACCATCTTATAAATGGCAGAGGAACACTTAGAGGACAAAAGTATAAACATTACTTTTTATTCATAAGAAAAAGGACAAGATGAAAACTTTTTGATCACGAGATTGAAATCGTTAATTTTTATGTTAATTCACATTATTCATATCGAGGACACCAATTGAGGTTTTCAAATCAAGGCGATATCGTTAATTGAGTCGATAATTTTAATGATCAAGCGATCCGTGAACGTAATCATAATAATCGATAAAAAAGAAAGGGCAATACTTGAATACAGGTTATGGTGAACTTTAACATTTATAATATAAAGGTGAAGCATTCAATTCAATTCAAAACAAATGTAATTTTTTTTTTAAATTATGAAGTCACGTAGCGTATTTTGGGTTTTTGTCGAGATTAGCTTTGATGTTTTATAATAAACATGACGCATGTCTATACTGCGCGGCTTTTAAAAATTGTTTCGCTTTACATTATGTGACAAATATAAGTGAATGCGACAGATGATAATATGACGTATGATATGGTAAGAGATAGCACAGTCTTTCTAATTACATCCATTGGTGTAATTCGAGTGCTTCAATTTCGGTGCGCCAGTGTCATATATTTTTAAATAATATCATTAGTTAGTAGTCAAGCAACGGCGTAATAAAAAAGAGGTACTTACTTAATTTATGTAGTGCGCTACACTTGCATGTTGGAATTTAACAGGCGTTTATTCACAAACTGCTTTTAGACTCTGCTAAAGGCTTTGGGCACTCCTACGTATGAGGACACTTGACATGGTTCCCGCCTCGGCAACAAACCTCGACAGTCAAGCCCCACAGTTTAGTGTGGAGTTAAAAAACCGGCCAAGTGCTAATAGGACTAGGAAGGAATGCTAGGAAGGGTCCCGTACCATTATCTACAAAAACAAAAACATGTATGGGAGCCCCACTTAAATATTTTTTATACTGATTTTTAGTATTTTCTGTTATAGCAGCAACAAAGATATATCATCTGTGAAAATTTCAACTGTCTATCACGGTTCATGAGAGCGGAGTTTTACTTATAAGGTCCCCCGTTTTACCCTTTGTGTCCGGACCCTGGAAAGAGAACTAAATAGATGACATTTTGTGTGTTCTTAAGTGTTTCTGTACCTCGATTGGAACTTATTGTCGTCGCTCTATCTCTATGGTCAGGCAAAGAGGTTATGGAGAATATTTATGTGGAAGAAAAAAATAGTTACTCAACGCCGTCGAGACGTTGAAAATTTATATAATATTTTTGTTGAAACTGACAAGATCAACCACCGTAGCCCAAGGGTAACTTCCCTTTCACGGAGAATTTGTTTGAACATAATAAAATATTCACAAGTAAACAACTATCTTCACGTCCAATTATAACGTCATAATTTCCAAGGCAATAATGAATAGTCGAAAAGTAGTAGACGTTACGGTGGTAGGGCCACGCAGCAGCCTCGGCTGTTGCACGAATGGGCAGGCTCGTCCGGTAAGTACCACGACCTCACAGAAGACCAGCGTAAAGTGGAAGTACGACAAATGCTTTCGCGTTTCGTCTGGTGAGTGAGGTGGCCGGAGCCCAATTTTCAAAAGGTTGTCAACGCATCTGTAACCCTCGGGTGTAGCAGATTTCCATGGGCGGCGGTATTCACTTAACATCAGGTGACCCGTCTGCTCGTTTGGCAACTTTTTGCATAAAAAAAAAAGTGGAAGAAACTGGAAAACTTTTATTGGCGTTTGTATTAATTATTTCATTTTATTAATAATTTCCCGTGCACTAGTACGAAACCTGTCTTACTCTGGTGTCTTAACCGACTTCAAAAGGTATAGGTTCTCAATTCGACTGTATTTTTAGTGTTACCTCTTTCCACTGGCTAGACCGATTTTGATGATTCTTGTTTTATTTGAAAGCTGGTGCTTCGGGTGTGGTCCCTTAATAGGAGGATATTAATTTTATTGGTATTGGATCTTGGGCTCCGGAGATACTTACGGAACTTCTAAAAATCAATATAAAATGAATACGG